AAACCACTATAGTAAGGCTTACTTAATGGGAAGCCCAGGTGGAATCGAACCTATTTGGTGTGACTGTCACACCAATTTTTTGGGGGCCGAAGCTAATTTGTGACACGTGGTAAAAACATACAGAAAAACATATGAAAAACATACAAAAAAACATATAAAAAACAACAATGCCTAGCTAGATTCTACCTATTACTTCTCAACTTTACAATAAGATATGAATCACACAAGAAGCCTTGACAAGTACATTGGTACAATTGTGGTACAAGGTGCAGCAATCACAATTTGCGAAGCTATTTTTTATGTGGTCACAGGTCACAGGGTAATTCGAAGCTGTGACACTAAGTGTGACTTTGTCACTAGCTGCACGTGACGAAGCTAGTGTCGTATCTCTACAGTATACGCGTACTAAGGAGCGTGTCGGAATATTACGAGTGTATACTGAGTCTGTCAGCTATGTGCAACAGGACACATGATGAAAATATACCATCGCTGCCCGCAGTGATCGCGAACAGTTCGAGGTTCGACGGCGCGCATATCGACTGCTGTTCTGTATCTGCTCTCCGTAATATCCAAGATCCACAGGAACTATCAGTAGGGCGTGGCAACAGAAGTTAGAACTGATGTAAGATAGCTCACTGTCCGGTTGAATGCTCTCTTCCGACTTGTATACCTTCTCAGGCGTCCGGCACAGGATTGCAGATGAGCCAGAGGGTCCAGTGGAGAGCATCATGGTGAAAGCTCGGAGTCGCATGATGCATTTGATTAGACATGACAGGAGGTAATCATAAGTACACATAAAAATGCGGTCGTAAATTATGAAAAACAAAGAAAAAACATCGGTATGAACGGTGACGCTCAGCCTTCATACACGTCTAGTAGTCCTCACAAATTGAATGAGTTCTTGAGACGTATAAGTGTGGTACGCAGGCCGCGATCCTTTGTTTCCTTGAGACGTATAAGTGGGGTACGCAGGCTGCGATCCTTTGTTTCCTTGAGACGTATAAGTGTGGTACGCGGGCTGCGACCCTTTGTTTCCGCCTCAGGTTCTACAGAGCGATGACCATACTTCCACTTCCACTTGGTTTCACCAGCCTTCCAGGGGATCAGGGAACGGGTTGTTATTTGGCCCTCCCATGGTAACGGGAGATGGGCAGGGTACTGGACAATCATATTGAGCAGAGAGTGGTTGAGGGCTTAGATAGAACTAACCTCAAAATGATCCCCGCGGTAAGCTATTTCGTTGCAGCGTGTATCTTGCTCCGGCGTCTGCTGGGGAAGACATAAATCAGCCCAATATCGACAGAGCATGGGGAAATTGTCAACATTCACTGGTTCGACTGGTATTGGGTTCTTCGACTTGGGTATCGGAAGCTACAGGAGAAAGCCTAAATCAGCACGACATCCAAAGACAAACTGAGAAAGAAATAACCTTCAAGAGTGAGTCACAGTGATCACAAATGGGCTCGCCATGGAGCATCGGTGCGTTTTGACCCTAAAGACAAAGATATGTGAATTGACGCAACTGCAGAACTAGAAGAGCATACCTCCTGGATGCTCGGCACCATGGCAGTGCAAAGGTTGAATGCACACTTATGCTCCATGTGTTGAGATGTAAAAGGTGAGAGATAGAGATGTTGGTTATTTTGCGAATGAGAACTGCTGGCCTGAGGGGTGAATCTGACGACGGTGCACGGAAAAACACGGCAGCTTATATAGGAGACGAGAAGGTACAAGCGTGGTGGCGATATGTGGAAGGTAGGAGCGTAAAGGCCTAAGTACCTATGGAAGGACAAGACAATGTGGCGTAGAGCGTGAACAATAGAACATCAATGTAGCTGCATACAATGCTCCAACCACAGCATGGAATCCCTTTGAAAAAAGATAAGTAACGCAGGAGATGGTGGAAATACATGCTCACATTCACAGTGCTCTCAAACCCAGTTGTCTATGTCGCAATGATGTCAACCGAAACATGGACCAAATCGACTCGTCGATCTCAGCACCACTACCATTGCTACCTTTCCACGCAAGCTATATGCTGCACTCCTTGGCCTTTTCACAGGTCCTGAGTTTCTAGCATTCTCTACCTGTGTCGCCATTCTGTTCACTACTCAACAAAGTTGAAGACATTAGGGCTCATTCTCCTCAGTTGCCGCATAAAGCGCGCGACAGTGTTGAAAGACGCCTTTTCCCCTGACGAAAGACTTCCTGGCTAGAAAGGCAGACCTTTAACAGATTGCAGGCACCCTTTCTTTCACCGTATGTGCGGAGGAATATACGTTAACGTGACCGGACACGAGTCACCCTGGTGCATCACTATGTCTTTGAACCGTGCGTTAGATACCCCGGGCATAGCTGCATGGAGGGCGGAGGGCTGGAGAGGAAATAGAACATATTTGTCAAAGTATAAGCGGGGAAGCTGATGAACACCCTCCGTACTGACCTGTGCTACAGCCATGGTCATAGTCCGGTAATGATGCTATTTTCCCCTACTCCCTGGGACCGACTTGGAGGGGAGGGCGTGACGCCGTCTTATAACGGGATCGGTGTCAAAAATTTCGGTGACACTCATCTCGCCTTCAAGCGACGAAGGCTTAAGCGCGGATGGCGGAGATGCCAAGCTGGACCCTGGTTGGCAAATTCACAGAGGAGGTAACTTGAAGAGCATTGGTGAAATTGAATGCAGAGAATTGGTGCCTAATGAATAATTTATGGTGTTGAAGGTTGAAGATCTGGAAGAGGATAAGCTAGGGCTCGTCCGAAGAGGGCGCGATTGAGTTAGTGGTTTGAACAATGACCCACCTGCATTTTCACGAACATCATACTTGGATACGAACTGTAGATCAGGGTGCATCCTCCGGAGGTTGACAGCAAGAATTATCGAGGTATGTGTAAGTCGTAGAAGGGTCGTGGGAACCAGCCCGCACACACTGGGATAGAACAGCGCACCGACTTTTTACATGACGTCCTACACAAAAGCCTCCCACCTCCTGGAATGTTGCAATTTTTCACCTGCCAGAGCTCGTCGCTCCGTCCTGCCCCTTATCGACCTACAGTTCATTGTTATTTCAACCCAACGCCCGACAATGCTGCTACCAGACCCGCTGGCTGGCCCTGCGCCTGTCGTTGACAAAAATTATCACATAAGTGTTGGATAGAACGGGCCTCAGAAGGTGGAAACTCCGCCACACAATGAGTGGCTGGTTTGAGGCGTGAGGGTAAAGAAAGTCAGCTGCATCTGGTGCACACGCACATCTTGGGAGTCGACGAAATGAAGAGGTTATATTGCAGTAAGGTGTATGCAAGTGTTCGGGCAAGTTACACGGTGATGTGTTGGAGCCACTGCTTAACAACAGAAAAAACAATATTGATGCGGTCATCCAGGATAGATGGTTGTCGACCAGATACGTGCGCCAGGAAGCAGCAATTGCACTATGATGCGAGGGACTCATGCTGGAAGACGTTGAGACAAGAGTCAGACGAATGTGTTCAGCGCTGAGGCGGCGGGAGGGTCTACTGTCGAGGAAAGCAAATGTGACATTAGGGAGTATTTGTGGAAGCGAACAACCTCGTGTCTTGGGCGTCTATGGAAACGAGGCAGATTAATGTAGTGAAGTAAGGTAAAAACGCACAATACACGCACCCTCTGCAGCTGAGACACAGACGCTCACAAACGCTCCAAAGTCCGCCTCGACCGTGCTCAACGCTACCAACATCTAGTAAAATGACAAAGCTCATTCCAAGCACCACACCCCTTCGAACTTTTAAAGGTCATGATGAGGGCATAACTGCAGTCGCAGTTTCCCCTGATAGACGAAGAATGGTTACGGGCTCGAAGGATGGGACACTTTGTCTTTGGGACTTGAAGACAGGTGTTGTGTTGAAGAATATGGAGGGGCATCGCAGTCGGGTGTGGACATTGGCGATATCACGAGATGGGCAAATAATAGCAAGCGGTGATGGAAATGGAGAGGTCATCGCTTGGAACGGAGAAACAGGAAAAACTCTCACCCAACCCATCAAAGCCCACTCCACACAAGTCACCTCGCTGGACTTTTCCGCGGATGGTACAGTGTTGGCCACTGGTTCAGAGAACAACATGGTCAAGCTGAGGTGCACCAAAACATGGCGGATTCAAGGAGATCCGATCATAGTGACTGAGACCCATCGGATTCAATATTCGCCGTCTGGTGAACTTCTTGTCATCTCAAGATATCCAGATATCGACATTTATAATGCAAGCACGAGGAAACGTGTCGCAACCTTCAAGGCATATAACTGCGGCCCACTCGCGTGGACGCCTGATGGCACACGCCTTATTTTAGGCATTAATGATGCCATACAAGAGTGGGATACATCAACCTGGGAGAAGGTCGGTGATCGCTGGAAGGGCCATACTGAGAGGATCCACGCCATCGCCGTCAATCCTGCTGGCACGCTTGTTGCTTCCTCATCTGCAGACAACGATGTCCGTCTCTGGCGGCTCTCAGATCGACACACCATTGCGATCTTCAAGCATTCATCTATCCAGAGATGTATTACGTTCTCCGCAGATGGCAAGCACATCCTCAGCGGAGGTCAAGATAAGCAGATCTCGGAGTGGGAAGCACGTAAGGGTGTTCATTCAAAGGCGAGTTTCCATCCTTGACTTGTGTCACGCAATTCGAGCATGTTTCATGCAGATCTTCGCCACTATCACGGCAGCCCATAGTTCATGCATCACCGGAGACTTGTCTACTGCTGAACAGCTACTCACGCAAGAGATTGACGCCCACCCGAATAATTATACCTTCTATGTCAATCGCTCATTTGTCATGGCACGACAACGAGACTGGGACCGTGCCCTTGAGGATGCAATCGAGGTGAGTCATACAGACCAATCATGGCCCTCAGGCTAACTTTCAAATCTGTGCCATAGTCCATCAGGATTGAGCCCTCATTGATAGGCTACATCTCCAAGGCCATCGCCCTCTGCGGAAAAGGCAATGTCCGGGACGCGAGGGTAGCATTTGACGTCGCATCTATGTTCACGAACCAAGATTCACAAACCATCCATTTTCTTCTCTTGATTAAGGTTGGTCAAGTTCGTCTCACATGCTCTCTGCTCCATTTCGTATTCTAGGCCATTACCCTTTTCAATGTAGATCAACATGACGAGGCAATGCTGCTCATCAAAGAGCTAGCCACCGCTTGTCCGAATGCTGATACCCTCGCGTGTTGTGTCGTGGAAGTCAGTGTCATGCGGCTACACTCGGTTATTGATACTGATCTTTGCGACTCGCACATTAGGCATATCTACGTGTTCAACTCGGAACCAAGGCCTTCGATGGCGCGCGTTATGATGAAGCTGTTGACCACTTCACCGCCGCTGTGAACTCCAGCGCTTTTCCATCAAAAATCATTCATGAACCTTACGAGGACTTGATCGTGGTACGTTGACATGATGCATCCGAATTTGTTTCATAACTGAGTGTTTTGCCCAGCTCTTCGGCTGGGATCTTGAGTCCTTCTGGCTCACTACACACCAGAAACGCTGTCAGGCTTTCCTTTCGGCAGGTAAAGTCGAGGAAGCCCTCGCATCCCACCAACACATGATGGACGCCATCGACGATACTGAGAAGGCCAGCTGCCTCGATTGGTCCAACGGCAAGTTTTTAGTGATGTCACTCGAAACCACCATACTCACCCGCGATTCACTCAGACTTCAAGGAACAATGTGCGCTCGCTGCTCATGACGACCGTATTCTTGGCGCATGTACTTCCTTCCTCAATATTTTCGCTACTAACCTATGTTATGCAGGCGGAGATTCCGGGGCAAGATCAAGATGGCTATGATGCAGAACCTGATTTCTTCCGGAGAACGCATGGTGTGGGTGCATCAGCGTATCCTTTATTTCTCTCTCTCACATCATTCGTTACAGCATTCTCAAATTTCCAGATCACGACCTCAGCAGCGCCTAGGGCGCTTCAAGAAACTCAGGCTCGCTATGACAAGGAGTTCTCGTCCATTTCCTCCACCTCCACCTCCACCTGCACCGCCCACTGCCCTACCACCTGCCGCTGCTCCCACCACCTTCACAGCCCACGTACGACACCTATTTACCTGGCGACCCGATCATGCAGCACCACCCGTCGTAGATGTTCCTTTTGCACAGGGTCGAAAGGTGCGCTCGATCTATCTTCATCACTGTCTTGGGTGTCTCATGTATATATCTACAGCGAAATGCTGCAGCGGGTGCTCCTGCTGATGACGATCCAGACATTATACGTGCTGAATACTTAGATGATGGTTCACAGGACTCCAATACGCAACAACGCAACACGCAACAGCCCAATACACAACAGCAACGACAACCAGTAGTAATACAGGCAGACACTGGGGGACATGGAGGTGGCAAATCGTGTTTCTGCTGCTAGCGGCTTTCTTGGATGTCCTCGGGTATTTCAGTTTTGTCCTTGCTCTTGTTTGTTGCGATATCTACGTTGGCTTGAAGCAAATTTTATTATCATATCCATCAGATCTCTTCTTGTCCCTATTCATAATCAACGATGCCCTCCCTATGGAAATTTTAACGTGTGCAGCCCTATGATGTTCCTAGATGAAACACTGTGCGAGTCCGCAGACGTCTTCGACTACACCAAACGATTGATGAATTACAGAACGCCGACCTTTGGTACATTCCTACAGTCGGTGCGTCCCATACTACTCATTCAATTGTCAGCTGCTGGTGCATGAGGGACACACTGACAGAAGACAGTACTACAAGAGCGAGGTTAGCTGGAGGTCACCAGCCTGCGAGGACACCACGCCAGCGTGGCAACCGAGGTATACTCCATCATACATCTATTTAGTACTCATCGCCCATTTAGATCTCCAACTCATAAGAAGAATCTAACTACTTGATTCGAAAAAAGATCGGGTGGCGTATTCATTATTGTTATTGCTTCAGAATCCTTGTTCCACCTTATGCAATGTGCTAATCATACAGACTTGAGACGATCATGGGTTGGATCAGCCAGTCAAACACCACTCCATCTTCACGCGATCGCAACTCGCTGGGGTTGCTGGTCCGGCCCAACCTTCGGAAAGCACACAGTGAGCACTCCATTCTCCATCTTCGCGTGTATATCCTCAGCCTGGACGTTCCGGTAATCATAAGTACCACATTGCCACACAGAATTCAAACAAATATCGATATTGTACTCACCTGGATTCCCTGAGGAATCTGAAGGGTCCTGGAGAACTTGCCATACGAGCGCTCCTGCACTGCGTAGCCGCCCTTTTCATAGTTCTCCGAGCGCTTCGATTCACCGGATACGGTCAGCCGGTTTCCATGGATCTCGATGTTGACATCCTGTTGTTTGATACCAGGAAGTTCGAATGACGCGGTCACTGTCTTGGTCTCGGTGTTCTCGTGTAGGTCCATTCTATGTTAGTGCGGGTCAGCGCTATTAAGTGTTGAATGCAATATTGTACTTACCTGGGAAACGCCCGATCACGGCGTTGAGTCAAGGTAGTATTGCCCTCGATTGCAGGAGAGGGGCGAAAACGAGCATTGAAAGCATCGTCAAATAGTTTGTCAAACTCGGTGAAGGAATCATAGAACGTGCGCACTAGAGACATGATTGACCGAGGAAGTGATAGATGAGTCGAGAGAAGGTGCTTTGGCAGTTATTGCTGGAGTCTGAGCAACTCTGACCAACAGTTATATGTGCATGTTCGTATATGACGACCATGACGATACAAGCGACTTCTAGAAATTACCCGGTGTTTGGTTGCAGTCTTCGAGAAGCCAGTAGGGCGTTGAGTTCCTTTTCGAGCTATTTACAGGTGTTTTGTTTCTTACAAGAAAGGAAATTTTGATTTGACGAAAATCGGTCGTGCTCGTGCCTTCGAAGCCAATGACCTCGCGTATCGATGGCGAAACATGATCAAGCTGGAAAGACAGTATTTTAGTCTGAAATGAAATTGAAATCGGGGGTCGCAGCTAGCGAAGGAAACAACCATATTTGCGTGCCAAGGATTCAGATCGACCGTAGTAGGACCGGCAACTTTAGAGTTAGTGAAGAGATTCAGTGGTAGATGTAGACGCAGGTTGGATTCCTGAGAAACCCCGGGTGAACGAGATCATCAGAATAGGGTCTCGAGAAGTGGAGATCGACTAGGAGATCGGCACAGACTAGGTCTATGCGTAGGCAGGAAGATCCAAGGTGCCACGGAACGAACGAGGGACAAAGGACAGCCACGGAGAGTGAAACATTCCCAAGCCCATGAGAGCCAGTTCAGGTAGTCCATCAAAGTCGCATCCTGAAGATTGATTTCCTCGTACCAAAGAGTCGTTCCATCGATTACCACAAAGGAAGTGCCACGGTGGGAAGTCGGAGATCAAAACGAGTAAAAGACGAGACAATTGAGCAAAACGACGGCCTCTTATACGCAATGGTCTTCGATGAGTGCCCCAAACAGAAATCGCAGTTATGAGAAATCCGCATTCTGTATCCATTGAAAATTGTGCCTCGGGGATAGAGATATCCACAAAAGTGCGATGTTCGATCGGGTGATATCCAGAAAAGCAGGCAGACATATGGTAAATAGGTATGTCATGAGATGGGGCTGATCCAGCCGCAACAGCATCTTGCCAAGGGGTGGATCAGAGATATCGTCGCATACGGGGAAGGTGCGTCGAGTTTAGTTGATAGTAGACGGTCGGCCAAATGAGTACTATCCAAAGCCAAAGCGATACTTGAGAAGAGAACGGTCGGAAATCGAAGGGACCCCAAGCGCCTTTGAAGGTGGATGAAATACAATGAAACGCCAGGTAAACGAGATCGCCAAAATAGGGTCTCAAGAAGCGGAGATCGACAACAAAATCGACATGGAAAATGACATCGGTTGTAAACGAGAATCCAGTCGATTGGAAGAAGTAGCATCAGAGAAAAGAGAGAGAGGCGGCCCTCTCATTCGAATCCAGATATGTTGTATCGCGCCAAGTTCGTGGTTTGTCTTCGTCCCATCGACATTCAAACACCACAGAAGGTGCACGAAGGTCGAGGTCAAAACGAGTGGAGCAAGTGGAAATTAGAGAAGGGAAGATTGTGTCAAACGACAACCTTATATATGCAACCTTGGTCGATGGCAATTGTGAGACATCCGAATTCAACATCAACCTCGTGGCGATGTAGAATGAGGTCATTTCAATCTTGACCGGTGACTCAAGCTAGACACATTCTGTGAGGTATAACGTCAACGAGGACGAGACTTGAGTACTTACATGTATAAGGATGATTGTTGTGATAGGATTTAACACGCCGAGTATCGCAGACGACGTCGGAGCGGTGCAGACCAAGAGCAACCCTTGCACCCGGTAAAGCGACACGATCTGTTTTTGTAGGCCCACTCTGTGTTGGTGTGGGTCAGCGTTGTTGAGTGTTGAATACATTGAAAGCGGGATTATACTGACCTGGGAAACGCCCGATCTCGGCGATGAATCAAGGTAGTATTGCCCTCGATGGTAGAGGAGAGACCGAAACGAGCATTAAGGTGGGGCGTCGAGTTTCTTACGAGAAAGGAAAGTTGGACTATAGTTATCCTCAAACCCTCGCATAGTTCGTTGAAGCAATTATCCGGATATTTGTGCGACTGGAGAGGTTACGCACTTTCAGAAGAGCGCAGCTACCGGCATTCGGTCGTGCGGGGGTATGCGTCAAGCAAGAGGTACGCACGGTCCAATCAACACCTCTATCTTATTCCCATGCTCTCTGCCTGATACGCCCAGACCAAGCCACTGCGCAGGGACTGCAGGTGTAGAATAGCGTCTAGTGATGCACGTAGGAGCCATGTGCGGTGGAAGTTTGCTGGCCTGGGCTTGCCATGCAAAATCGTCGGTTTTGGAGTCGCAGGGAATTGGACACTACACATGAATTCAAGAGCCCACAATACGTCCCACAATATTGTCGATCGTATAATTGGATTCGCGCCTGTGGGTTGATGTCACTCACAACTTGTTCAGTAGCTGCGCAATGCCCACTGCATGCTTAGTAGGTACTAGGGACTGCCAGCTACAATTTGTCCGTAACCCATATATACATACAACAGTAAATATCCGAAGCGGCAAAACGGAACATCCACAAACATATATGTTCGGCTTCATTCAAATTGTCTTCTCCATAATTCAAAAGCACCGTTGACTGTCTTCATCCTGTCTCCATTCTATCAGGGTCACTTTACGGGACTAACGCGCTCTTCGCCTTAACCTTAACCAACATGCAGGCAATCGACAGGATGACAGCCAACTCAAAGGCAAATTCTTCTCCCCTCTTGGACATGATGGGTGCGCTGCAAACCATGGTAAGTGTCCACTTCTAGTATATATAGGTACTCGCGTCTTCATACAATAATATTCATTCGTTCCAGCTCGCAAGTTCTGAAGTGACCGTATGTCTTTTACGACATATTAAACATCATTTTATTGAAGATGCCCAGATTCCAGACCTTGAAACCCCATGTTCCAGATTCCCGAATACCGATCAGTCTGCCACACACACAGACCAGAGTGTCTGCGCCATCATCACTGAACGCCAGCAGCAGCTGGATATAGTTTTGCGGGAGATCTCAGGCCTGAAAACCATGATGGATAGTATCAAAAATCTTGAGCAGCAACTGGTCGTAAAGAAGGACAGGATTACGGAGTCGATGAATCTACACAAGGGACTCCTATCGGGTCTCTGGCGCTTGCCAACTGAAATCCTGTCGCAGATTTTCCACCAATGTCTCCCAAAATCTACCCCATTATCGAAGCCACGCGCTCTCCTGCTGTTGACTAGAGTGTGTCGACGATGGAGGGAGGTTGTTATCTGCATACCCAGTTTATGGTGCAGGTTGTATATGGAAGTGTCCTGGCGAAACCGGTGGGAGCGGGAGGGCCCCATCTATGATTCATGGCTCAAGCGGTCACAAGGACGTCCGGTCTCGTTAGCTGTCTTCTGCCAAAAAGATGATGCCGCCAAAATACAAAGTCTTATTCATCCCTACATCAGTCAAATCACATCTCTCTTTATCAAATTTTACGGTGACGCAGACCTACTTTTATTGGACGACCTCCCAGCACTTCAGGAGTTCGCCATACAAATGGTCCCGGACGAGGATGACTCGAATGGTTGCATTCCAGCCATTGAACAATCTTTCTGGCGACTACCGTCCACTTTGCGCAGTCTCAAGGTCGTTGATGAGGAGCTCCACCAAGTGCCCTTATCTTCTCTCGGTCCCGTGGGGGCACACCTGACAAATCTCGATATCAGCACACTACGGCGCCCGAGTGCAGTCCTTCACTTGCTCCAGCTGTGTCCCAACCTCTCATCGTTAAAGATCAGTTTATTTACTGAAAATGGGGAAACCTTAGAGCCATTCATGCACACCAAAATTCAAACCTTTCGCATCGAGCACTACTGTCATATCATACAACCTTTTTCTGACCTGTTCAATGCCCTGTCGCTCCCCAGTTTGCGGATACTTGAAGTTCATTACGTTTACGGTGAACGATGCCCTCATGCGGTGTTGAAGGCATTTTTGGCACGGTCAAAGTGTCCCCTGGAGAGCCTGGTGTTTTCCCGTGGGAATGTGGTAACAGATGTGGAGCGAGCGGAATATAGTACCCTTATACCTTCCCTCAACATCCTACTAGAAGCGAATGTACCAGGTGATGGTTTCTTTCATTGATACTTGATCAATTGTTACTCATTTCCTAACACGATGACATCCAATAGTAAATATAGTTCCTAGGTTGCATATACTGACAATGCATTTGATCATGTACCATTTTAGAAATGCTGCAGATGTAACGAAATACATACCAGTGTAGACCTGTCTCTAGTTTGTCGTCACTAACTACTGAAAGCGCCTTGCAATCTGCCCCAGTTGGTGACCGTGAACCGACTCGGGCTTTGTTCTGGCAATCCTAAGGATGTTCTGCCCGAGGTGATGATGCGAGTACCGCAGCCAATCAAAATTGATTCGCTTGATTACCTATAAGTTGGCCAATGCGATTAGTGTTGTTGTCGAGGTGAGTTCAACTCGAGCTAAACTCGGCTCGCCTCGAAAATGACCCAATTCGTTTCAACTCGAACATTCCGAACTAAATCGAGTTACAACTCGTTGGACTCGCGAGTTACGATCAGGCTGCACGGAAAGCGGAGTTAAATTTCGTCGAGAGACTGTGCTTCCCAAGTGGCTCTCGGAGTTCATGCAGGAGTTGGACCAGACCACATCTACAAGGACGTGCGAGAAGGTCGAAGTCTCATCGAGCAGTAACCTCCTGAAGCAAGGGCCCAAATTAATGGTTCACGTTCCTAACCAAGGCTGTTAAAAAGATTTTGCGTATCATGCGCGCGCGCGGTTCGAGTCAATGAAAATAACAAAATTACCAATGCAGTTCAATTGTGGTTAGCATATTAAGTAATTAGACTGTTGACAACTTGTTAAAAAATCGTTTATCGTTTATTGTACCAACGAACTTCTCAACCCATCACTCAAGCTTTCCATCTACTGTTACACGGGGGCTTCGTAAGTCCATTCCTAACATATAGATAACATATCACTTGACCTTTGTCCAGCTGTAGGCATGGGCACTCGCGGGTACTACGTCTACCGCTATCGAAACATGTACTTTGCCTACTACAGACATTGCGATTCTTATCCGGACGTCCTTGGCGTAGACATGGTTGGGTCTATGCGGTCTCCCCGTGCCATCACAAGTAAGCGGGAGGAGTTGACACGGATGTTGGACAAGAGGAAAAACACTCGGCAATCTGAAAAATTCACTATTTCAAGCAGACGGCCACAACTTGAATATGGCAGCTTGATCAGGTGGATTTATGAGATCGACCTTGATCGCAACATTTTTCACATTAACGGCATACCATTCTTCAACTTGGAATGCCTTCCGACCCCGAAGACTTTCCTCAAATACATCCCCGAAGGACATTACGACAATTATGGCCGCATAGCTTGCACACCAGGGTGTCTTCCTAAGCACAAGTACAACCTGCCAGCGCCGCCAGTTGTAGATCATTCCGACCTCGCGAGGTATCAGGCATGCACAGGCACTGACATGGCTTTGAGCGACCTGCTCGCCATCAGCGAGGTTCTGTCCCCAGATGAGCAGGTTCGGGTTTCATTATTAGAGGTAACGATTGGGCATTGCATGGTTCAAGTCGATCCTCGTGATCGCACATTCATTTGCCAGTTAATTTACGACTTCGAGCTCATGCCTCATCACAATCAACTAAAGGACAGAGAATGGTCGGGCGCATGCTCCATGGCCAGCTTTGCCTTTGTTCCTCAATTGTTTGACGGGCCGTCCATTCGCCACCCCTCCTTGAGTAGGGAGGAGTTTACATGGGTTCGCGAAGACACCGTTGTTTGCATCGCAACCCATCTAGATGACGAGAGATGCCTGCAGGCCTCCATCTCACGCCTTATCACCGCAATCTCGGAGCAGAAGGATGTTCCAGGTGATTACTTTGGGGTCGCATTCTCCATTTACCATTGTGCAATCGTCAAGGTTGTGAAAGATGCAAACACGACGACGTTCAGTCACACGCAGACCCTCCAGTTTTTGCCATCAAATTTCGCAGAATCTCCTTCTACGCCGGGCATCACTGCTCTTGCTCGCCTTGCCCATCGCGTCGACCCTGCACTCTTTGTGCGTGCTATGGAGATCTGTCGTCGGCCCGGTTCAACGACGGACAAGGAGAACGAACTCGCTCAGGAAGGCAATGATGCACCCAATGTTAATTGTGCAGCGCTGCCTTCTGAGCTTTGGCGAGAGATCGCTCTTCATCTTGATCTTCAAGACGTCCTCACCCTGGGGTTAATTTCGAAGCTATGCCGTGAAGCAGCCTCAATGGTACTCCGCTATCCCCACGTCTGTGGTCATCGTTTGGTCGCTGTCTCCAAAGAGACACCAAGCAGTATACTACGAAGCCACCGCTTTCTGCATGCTGCATCGTTTGCTGCTGCACGAGCAGGGGTTCCTACTGATGTTCTTGTCGGATGGGGGGTTGGCGAAAGTGAGATTATGAACTTCCCGATTGATGGGAATAGGTTGAGAGTGTGCCTCTCGGACAGTCACGCAGGAGGGGAGGAAAGCGTGGTTGAAATTGGGGACGACAGCAACTTTGACGAAGACGAAGACGATTTCGGCGATAACTAGTACTCCGGTGTTTAGTGGAACTTTTGACCGTTCGCCGTGCGGGTGCCATGATCCATCTTGTTGATTCAGTTGAAGTCCAACCTCTGAGATTTTAATTCACGGCCCTGTTCTAGGTGGGTATATAGTGCCCAATATTGAATATTGAAACCTGGATTGACTGTCTCGTTCGTGTCGGCCGTGTTCAGTCGCGATGATCAGTGGACACCATGTTGAATTGTTGCACGTCAGATAAAATGTGTCAAGGACGTCTCAGCAAGATGAAACGGCGCGCCCAAGGTCCTGCACATCAAAGTTTGAATGGTAGTTAACTAGCCCAGCAGATTGACAACATTAAAGTTCTGAGTCTTGGCGTCAATGTTTGGTCGAATTTGATGAGTTCGTCATCACGTGCGAAGGCAAAATGTCGTGCCATCTTGTTGAAGTCCAGCCTCTCTGCAGTGAGATCTGAGCTACAACGTTGGACCACGCCATCTACGAGGCAAGGCTTCCGTTTATTCTGAAGAGGTTGCTGAGAGAGAACTGCGATTGCGTGACTCAGAGTGCGGGCCGCGGCCGGCCGGGAGCTACTGTCAGTGAACGCAGAACTTCTGATCAAGCGCGTCACATGCAAAATAAATCCGGGAACTCGATTTCCGCCAGATATTAATAATACGAGGACAGTACAGGTATAAGTATATTGCGTGTTGTTCATAGCGTATCAAGCAAGGCTTATCTTTTCCCTTCCACAAACGCTTCATCATGCCAACTGTGCAGCCTCCAAGCAAGGTTCTCGTCTCTGGCGCGAATGGTTATATCGCGATTTGGGTCGTGCGCACCCTTCTCGAGAAGGGGTACTCTGTCCGTGGGACAGTCCGATCTGAGGAAAAAGCGGCATCCCTCAGGCAACTGTTCAGCTCGTATGGTGATAAGCACGAGGTAGTCGTCGTCGAAGATATCACAAAGGTGCGCATATACTTAGTGATCGCACGGGATCTCACTTTGATGCATTTGAAATAGGAAGGAGCCTTTGATGAGGCAGTTAAAGGTGTTGATGCCATCGAGCATACAGCCTCGCCTTTCCATATGAACGCGGATGACCCGAACGGTACATTGAAACTAATGAATGCCCTGATTTTTAATCACTCGTTCTTAGAACTTATCATTCCCGCAGTCAATGGCACAGTTGGGATTCTGAAGAGTGCCCTCAAGTACGGGTAGGTGCTTCCTCGTCGTCTGAGGGTGTATGCTGTCAATTGACATCGCGTCAGCCAATCTGTTAAGCGTATCGTGGTTACTTCATCAGGAGCTGCAGTTCTGCGTGACACGCCGACTCCATCTACTTTTTCTGAACTGGACTGGAACGAGCAATGTTTGGAAATTGTGAGGGAAAAAGGTCGCGAAGCGCCTAATATGATGAAGTATCGTGCATCAAAGACTCTCGCTGAGAAGGGTACGGTCACCTCAAGGTATCAAACATGCTCATCGAACTAGCAATGCTCATATTCTTGCAGCGGCTTGGGAGTTCTGGAACACACATAAAGGAAATGTTGGCTGGGATCTCAGCGTCCTTAATCCACCTTTTGTGAGTTTTTCCTTTTGAATCTCAGGAATTTTAACGAACCCATCCATTTCTCAATGATAGGTCTTTGGGGTATGTCGGAAAGATGCTTCTCATTGGTTTCTCCCTATTAAATACTACACCTTCCATTACAGCCCGCTATCCACGAAGTAACAGCACCGTCGGCATTGGGCACTTCCGCGAAGTTGTTCTACAACCACGTCGCCCATCCAAACTCCAGCGGAGCAACAAACGAGTTTCTTGCTTCCAACGGTACAGCCTGGATCGACGTGCGCGATCTGGCCGAAGCGCATGTCCTCTCGCTCCAGAAGGAAGCTGCAGGCGGCGAACGAATGATCGTTAGTGCAGGTACGTTAACTTCGTCCATCCAGCAATGATAACGCACCTAACTTTCTCCAGGACTCTGGAAATGGCAGGATTTCAGTAGGTGCACTTCGTTGTGCCGCTGTTCTACTATTCACATTATATCTCGTAGTTGACGCTGCTAATACAATCTCGCCGCCACCGAAACTCGCCACAGGTGGTCTGCCGAAGGGTAACCCTGGTGCTGGTACTGGACACCCCTCCACTGTGCACCTTCTTTACTACGACACCGCGAAGGCTGCACGGATCCTCGGACTCAAGTACCGTACTATCGCAGAGACGACGAAGGACGCGCTGGCAGACTATGAAGCAAAGGGATGGTGATACGTCTCATACCGAGTACTGTAGATGGTGACTGTACCGTCATACCCTTCAATAGACGAACAAATTCAGAGATCGATCGTTTGGACCATTGTTAGGATGAACCAAAGACTGTTCGTGCAATGTAGGAACGGAAACGGGCAGTACCATATATTAGCGAGAATACCCGTTGCGGATGAAGGAGGGACACATAACAGTATTCGAATTCCCAGTTGGCGTGGCGCAACCAATCGTTCATACTGACGGATGCGTAGAGGTACTCTGGTGCCATCCTCCGCGAATGAGGTAAAATACCGCTGGCAACCTCAACCCAAGTCTCCGGCTCGTCCCGCATCTCAAACGTTCCTCACTAGAACTGACGAAGCCGACTATGCAGCATTCAATCAAATCATTACTAGGCCAATCGTGGCTATCACCTTGAACTCCGCAACTACAGAATGTTTTCCATGGCTACGTTGAGTTTGTTGAGTAGTTTTTCCGCTGAGTAGGGACTTGAATCTAATGAACACTTCGGTCACACTGATGTGTTTCTCGTGGAGTAGCCCAAAGTCTAGATTGATAAGGGTTGGATCACAAATTCCATCCCCTACGCAATATGATTCATCCTTGAAGGTGGTTAATGAGGAATGCTGAATCGCTTTAGAACAAAAGCTGCGCACCATTTCTGAACTTCAATAATAACATTCCTATCCGTGCTCGATTCCATAACGGTATCCCATGCAACCTCGCCTGTAGAGTATCGAACCCAAAAGTGCCGCATGTCTCAAATTGCGAATGCTGACATTGTATGTCGAGTCGTAAACGCTGATGTGAAATTCTCAATAGCTGCATCACTGAAAGCTGGCGCAATGGCTTTCCGCTGCCTGATTTGCGGCAGTGGATCAGCCTCGGGCGCGAGTAGACAAGAACTAAATCGCACCTCCTGTGGCTCTCGCTCTGAGCCCATACTAACCCTCGATCTGACAAGTAATAAGAGAAAAGTGAGTCCAGACGAGAACATTGACCTACCATGCTCTCTACAATCATCAGCGAAAAAGGCCTTTGCAGATAGTAGGTCCATGTCTCCCGAGCATAAAAGTGCGCGATAACTTTTGGGTCACGTACCACGATTCTAGTCTGTCCAAAGGACGGCCAGAATCTTATACACTACTCTATATTCATGTTCAATGTTCATACGTGGCACCACTGTCCGTAGATGAGACGAGGTCATTCGAAATGCCATACATGGAGCTGGTTCAACGTGGGTCAAGTCGTTTTCGTTGGCCAGCGAACAACTTTGACACAAGCCCACAGTACTGTAAAAGCGCAAGTGGGATTGAATGCACTAACTGAATGCACCGTTGTCCAGAGACTGAATGGAAAGCTAGGTATACTAGTTGCGATGGAAGCCTCGTGACGCGGATCAACGGCATGATGACATGGCATATCTACATACTAAAATGACATCAGCCAAATGGCGGGTACTAACAACGTACTAACAACAGGACCAACTGTTTATATCCAACGGAACGAGATGTAGTTGGCGATCGATGCGGGACACACTAGTACTGCCGTTCGAAATGGTACTAGTCCTCGCACGGTCGGGATTAATGTTTAAGATCGATTAATCGCCGCCAGACTGTGTTCCAGTTGTCTCCGAAAGTTTCCCCAGGTGGACCAATGGAAGAAAGACAGTTGTTTCTTCTGCAAATGTCTGTTGCTGACATGATAATCAACTTGAGTTGTGTCGCAACATGTTTTGTCACTGGCGGTGACCGGTGACTGTCTGACTCTTTATAACTCCAATTCACTTACACTCACTGCGGAAACGAGAACATAAACCGTATGCGGAAAGGGTAGGGTTAGGGCCTGTATACGGACACAAAGCGTAGTACAGAAATATAATCAAAACGGACTCATGAAAGTACACAAAGCACGAGTTTGCATACCCTAAGCAGAGTACGGATTTGAACGTAGTACAGACTCTTTTTAGGCTACAGAAGTCTTGTTCCCCGGTCGGGTTAGTGTATGATTAGTGACTGTAGCAAGTCTGCTTAGAATGTCGAAAATAGCGCAATCCCCTCTGTTTAGAGTATGATTACATTGTACTATGGATCCGCCGCACATCCCAGAAAAATAGAAACCTCCTTCCCGCTCCTGGTTCCGCCACCATTTCTCTGCTAACTGGTTCACATTACCTGCCGAGGCCAACGTGCTCTTCTCACCACGCACCACACGTAGAGCGTCTTCCATCGCGGCACGCATTTGCTGGTCCTGTTCCTCCTCCTGAGGGCCATCGGGAAGATGAAATATCTGTTGATTCAAACGAGACGAGAGCTGTGTGGTGGTAGCGCGATCATAGAGGATGGAGTGGTGTGCGTAAAGCAAGGGAACAATCTGAGAGCGGTGCGCAAGGCGAGAGAAAAGGAACCTTGGGCACGATATGGCTTAGTAGTGGAATGAGTCAGATGGCACTAAACGGAGATAATGAGACCTACAAGCATGGGTGACAAGAATCTCCCAAAAGAACCAGTTTCCCGTCCTTGTGTATCCAAGTTCCAAGAGGGCTGAATGCTATTTCAATTCACGAGAGTAAGGATGTGGCACGCGGTTATTGAAAGTGAAAAACGCTTACCGAAGTTCCCAACCAGCAAACTAAGCTCTCATTTTGCCCGCACTGCCCATGGCAGTCCATGATTCCTCGCCGCCGCCGCCGGGATGCCCACATCCCACAACGACGACGTCCAAGGAAAGAGTAGCTCGTCGCCCTTGGTAGAGCTTACCAGCCTGAAAATGCAAAGTCAGCCCTGTGAACGATGGACCACTGAGGACATACATTTGCATGTTGAGCCAAGACGGAGGCGAGAGTCAACTAGCAGGAAGGTCTCGAACATCTTGATGTCGTCGAGAAGAAGATGGCGGAGATGGTCGAAAATGAGTGAGCTTAGCGAGGACTTAAAAGAATTTTCGAAAATCTTACCTTATTTAACGAGGACTTAGAAGAATTTTCAATAATACTTGCCTTCGCCCAAGTCTACCGTAAAAAGAGGTCAAAAGCAAGGATTTACGGATCTGGTTAGTGGTGGGATAACAAGTGTTTGAAGAGACTAAACAGCGGTCGGGAAAGATGTGTTCGCGAAGTCTGAAAAGATGCTATTTACATTTGTTGCTTCAACAAAATTATCTAAAATCACCGACATGTCTGCTTTGCGTACGGTTAGCGGCTAAGTACGTTTTGAGTCCGTTTAGGCCTGGTTTCTCCCTCCGTTTAGCGTGCGTCTAAAAACTCGTTTCCGCAGTGACTGTAAGTGATGATATGTATCAGACTCAGCTTCTCGGGGAAGCCCGGCACAAACATTGCTCACCTTCGACGGGTGAATTTGCAGCCGAACGTTTGGTATCCCTGAAGCTCTCTGCGGTGACTTTCACATCGATGCAGGTTGCACACACAAGCCACGGACGCCGAGTCTACGAGTCGAATGGGAGGCACGGGGAAGTTCCAGCCTGAGCGGGAACATTGCGCCCGTGTTTGCACATGTTTGCATATGCTTCACGTGACCTGCAAAACAGCACTGGGAGACGCGACTTCCGAATCCTATCCTAGTAGTACTACTTACACGATATACGCCATTAGCAGCTTTAATGTTTTAATGCTCGATCATCGCATGGTGACTAGCTAGACACCAGAGGCATCTCATTTTCCAATTCCTTTTCGGCTTCCTCGCAATCTGAATTTCCAGACGTGGTCCCAGACCGCTCCCCTCCGAGTCAAGGCTCACATTGCATGTACACGCACGATACTTCTGGCTGAGCTGGACCTTCCCCACCGGCCATGACCGTGACAGCGAAGCGTTCGTGGAGTCCTCTAATTGGTCACACGAATTTGCGCATAGCCATCCCTTGCTTGCGAAACACGCCTGCAGGGCAAGTGCTGGGACCCATCTGAGTATACCATGGCTCAAGGTAAGCACATTCCTAATGAGGTCGTGGGTCCTGGCAAGTGACTGACTTTGTAATGGTTTACCTAGGTTGCCCCGTCACTTAACTCGATGGTCCCGCGTTTCAACATTCGTTCGCACGCTGGCAGCATCACAGATCGGACATGTCCGACCTCGAGCGGCGAGAAGTGGAAGCAGATTGCTATATGTATGTACTCTTCTGTCTGTCCGGATGTCGGCCTTATTCTGACAGATTACACAAACACGATGTTCAATGTTATTTGTTCTGACGAGTCTCACGAATGAAATCCTACTGTCCTAACCTGGTGCCTCCTGCCCGCGATAAGATAATTGAATTCAACTCGTTTCTTTTGGACTGCACATCATCGGACAAATTTAGTGCTTAGGCTCCAGGGAGAGGGTAGGTTCAATTAAGCAGCAAATCTCACCGAATCATACCGTGATTCACAGCGTACAAATTTAGCACCACATTTGCATTTGGGTCAAAGTAAGTGCGTTGTCTGTCATCACCCATCTACTTGTATTTATAATAACGTACAGAAGGGACCACCATGCGGCTGTCACTCGCACGCCAGCGTCCTTGACATGTCTGACATCACAAACCAGATACTCGAGTCTGAAGCTGACGGCGGAGACAAAAAAGCAGAAGACTCCGTCACGTCCCTGGCACTGCCCTCCTTACATGGCGATTACGAGCTGACAACCATTCGCGTTCAAGAACAGGATGGTTCTCAGAAGCCACGTAGCAGCACAAGCAAACAGCTGACTCTGTCGAGCAGCCGTACAGATATTTTAGTCGTTGACTGGGATGGCCCAAATGACCCTCTCAATCCCAAAAAGTGCGTTTGCGTCAACGGAGCAGCGTGACCATTGGGCTTACAGTTCTCGCACAGTTGGAGCTTGAGACGCAAATGGACCGTGACCATAATCGTATCAGCGTTTGCTTTCATTAGTCCGATTTCTTCCGCTATGGCTGCGCCCGCTACTGGCCAAGTGGCTGCTACCTTCGGGATTAACAACAATGTTATACTCGCACTCACAACATCCATCTTTGTGCTTGCATATGGTAAGCGAACCCAATGGCTCCTAGATGCATGCACCATTGATCAATCACACCACAAACCAGTGATAGGGCCCTTTTTTGCATCCCCGATGAGTGAGATTTATGGCCGGTCACGCGTTTTGATATTGGGAAATCTATGGTTTCTTGGTATGCAACCTTTACCAGCTGAATGATATTTTTAATCTCGAATTCTCGAACACGATAGCATGGAATCTTGGCTGTGGATTCGCACGGACAGAATACCAGCTTCTTGCCTTTCGATTCCTCGCTGGCCTCGGAGGCAGCGCACCATCGACTGTAAGGTTTTGAATAATGTTGTAAGAACGTGTATTCTGAATGTCATTCTTCAGGTTGGCGCTGGTGTTTTGGGTGATTGCTGGCGAGCAGAAGAGAGGGGGAAAGCGATCGTTCTTTACTCCTTGGCACCGCTGTTGGGACCTGTCTTGGGACCTATCACAGGCGCCTGGTTAGTGGGTGTTGGTGCTCACCCGAAGTTCAGTGACCTGATATAATTGTTCGAAGGATCGCTGAACGCTCGACATGGAGATGGGTTGTATGTGGTCGTTTCACGAATCGTGGACTGCTCTCATTTTCCCGTAGTTTTGGTCTACGTCCATTGTCGATGCAGTTGTTCAGATCCTCGGCATGTTTTTACTCCAAGAGAGTGAGTAATTGACTATTAGCGACTTGTCCATCCTTCCTAATTTTTTTGGCTTAGCTTACGCCCCCCTCTTGTTGGAAAGGAAAGCACAACGGATGCGCACCTCAGCAGACGCCGAAAGAGCCCCATACAGAGAAATCCGCACCGTATTTGAAGGTGAACATCGCTCGTAAGTCCTCTCCATCCCTGTAAGATGATGTCATCTAATGACGATGATTTCCGTAGTTGGCAGGCCATCATGAGCAAAGCACTCCGTCGCCCTTTCGCACTCCTTTTCCGCGAACCGATCGTGCAGCTGCTTGGCGTTTATATGGCATACATATACGGCATATTCTACCGTAAATCAGCAAGCTTTTTCCGCGGACATAATCTCACACAGCCTATCAGTCTTCTTGACGACGATCCCATCAATTTTTCAGGGCGTATACCAGCAGCCGGTAGGGATTTCTGGTCTTCACTATATATCGCTTGGCATAGGGTTGACGGTGGGATCGCAATTAAACGCGAGAGCTATGGATAGGATATATGTTCGTCTGAAGAGTAAAAACGGAGGAGTTGGGAAGCCGGAGTTCAGATTGCGTTCGTCATGATGATGTTGCCTTCTCCCCGCACAGCGCTCAATGAGTCATCAGCTGCTATGTTCCCCGCAACCCTGCTACTTCCAATAGGGTGTTTGATCGCCGGTTGGAGTGCTCAAGCACATACTCATTGGATAATTCCAGATATCGTCAGTTTCATTATCTTAGTTACGTATCTCAACTGACACGAAGCTCGACAGGGCATCGCGCTTGTGGGATCAGGAATTATACTAAATTTCCAGTGTATACAGCTCTACATCGTTGACGGTTTTACGCTTCATGCGGCTTCGGGTATGTATCGTGTTTTTGTCATGTTTGCATTCTACCTATCTCGCACCTTGCGTGTTCAGCGTTAGCCGCAGTCTCTTTCCTACGGTCACTATCAGGCTTCGCATTTCCTTTGTTTGCTCCAGCGATGTACATCGCACTCGGGTTCGGGAAGGGCGACACGGTCCTTGCAGTCGCTGCAATCGTGATTGGCTGCCCTGCGTATGTATCAGGTTCTTCCATTGTTACCCTTTGCTGATTGTGCCTGGAGGCCCTGGATATTTTGGCATTACGGAGAGCGGATACGAAAAAGCAGTCCATATGCGCAGTCGCGATGAGCCTGGGCGTGCGCGCTTGTTAGCCTTAATTGAAATTGGCCAAAGATTGGAATTTGGCCAAGGAAGCACGAGGCACACAAACACAGAAGCGAACTGAGATGGGGAACCTGGGTAGATCCGTAACGGCTCACGTATAGGGCGTCGCGAGGAATTATTGATGACCACTGGTAGTGGAGCACGCTATTGTTGTGAGATTCGTGTCGGGTAGCAATGGACTATTCTTCATACCAGATCGATTCCGAGCCCCCTGTGATACCGGATCAATTGTTGGCGGGAGCTAGCACTTTTACAACCACACCACCGCCGGATCTTTGTCCATCAAAGACTACGCATGTTGTCCACAACTACGGAAAGGCGTCAGTCATCGTGAGTGTAGTATAGACTCTGCAGCTCTGCCAGAGCAGCCGGGGATGATCATACTACCGAAGGTTTGTCGTCGTACTTCACCTTTCAGGGTCATGTGAGCGGTGCCATTCATAATGTTTCCTCTCGTGATTTTGTCATCTCAAAAAAAAAAGACTCACCATAATTGTAGCGGCGCTTGGCATGATCTGCAAATCATAGAAGCGAATTTTTTCACCGTTGTTCGTCATATTCCAATAGGCTGATTTGTGGCGTGGTTAACAGAGAAGTCCCAGCCCGGAAACATATCCTTTGGAGAGTTTGAATCTTGTGCAGTGATCACACGTCGCAGGGCGTCATGAGACTCGACTGCATAGTATCGTTCGAAACTAGCCTTACCCTACCTCACCTGATCGAATCAATTTGGACCGGGTGACATGGAATATATAGACAGCACTCACATTTCTTTTTGATAAGGACAGAGGGAGCTGAGAGACGTTGGGCATAATGCGCAAGGACCCACAAGAGATGATCGGCACTGTACGTGCCGGTGGAGCAGAGCCATCATGCAATCTTGGAGAAGGCCGCATTGGCAACATATGATATATGCCGATTCGCGAAAGCTTGCTAATTCCCGGTCAAGTATGATTGACATTCCGTGGCATCCATCAACGCCCCTAAATACCATGAACAATGAAATTCCCACGGATTCATAATTTAACCTTTTCAAGTAACTAGCCGCAAAGTGAAATTCGAGAGTTGAACTCAAGTTGAACTGGTATGGACTCTGGTGGTGTTCACAAGGTCTGATACGTACTATGCAAGTGAAAAGGACGGAGGTGGTACAGTTTCTGAATAGCATTGGATCAAACTATTTACTCATCATTTTTACGTGGAATCGGTAGCTCGGCGACAGCTTGGGCGCTAAAACGGAGAACCTTAGCAAGCAACGGGGCCCAACGGCGCCGTCACAGGTAAACTGGTATGTGTCAACCCAACCCAGGGTCACCATGATCTAAAGTAAGGTTGGTTTGGCAAGATAAGCACCACGGTAACGGCAGTGCCTCTCTGAATGACTTCATTACCGGTCGACAGTATAAGTAGGCGGACAGGAAGGCACCATGTGTGGATAATCACTTCAACATGTCTGACCCAGACAAAGACAAAATCCCTGTGTCCGCAGCTGACGGAGCACCTGGACAAGGCATACTAGACCATCTTCCAGAACAGACTTATCATCCCCAGCCTTATGAAACTGGCGATGGCGATGGCGCGAAAAAGAATAATTCAGATATTTTGATTGTCGACTGGGACGGCCCAGATGACCCTCACAATCCTTTAAAGTGCGTTTCACGAGCAAAGCAGCATGCTTATTGGGTTGACAGTTCTCGCATAGTTGGACCTATAGACGCAAATGGGTCGCAACATTAATTATATCAGCCTTTACTTTCATTAGCCCAGTTTCATCCTCCATGGTCGCACCCGCTACTGGTCAAGTGGCAACTGCCTTCGGCATTACAAACAATGTCGTACTTGCACTTACAACATCCATCTTTGTCCTTGCATATGGTAGGCCAATTTCATGGATGCTAGATTCATCACTGATCAGCCAAACTGCATCTCAGCGGTCGGACCATTTTTCCTGGGTCCATTGAGTGAGATTTACGGGCGCTCACGTGTCTTGCAATTGTCAAATCTATGGTATATCGGTACGTGGTATTCATAAGCTAGCCCATAACCCTACCCCTGAAATGAATTCACAGCATGGAACGCTGGATGTGGATTTGCGCAGTCAGAAGCCCAGCTTCTCGCCTTCCGGTTTCTTGCCGGTCTCGGAGGCAGTGCGCCCTTGTCGGTAAAGCTAAAACCTTTCAATACAAAGTATTTCTTCTGAATTGCTTCCCTCTTTAGATCGGTGGCGGCTTTCTTGGGGACTGCTGGCGACCAGAAGAAAGAGGAAAAGCTGTTTCCATCTACTCGTTAGCTCCCTTGTTGGGACCTGTTGTAGGACCTATCACAGGCGCCTGGTGCGTGGCTATTTCAACTTTGAATGTCATTATCTAAATATTCTCCAGGATCGCTGAACGCTCAACCTGGAGATGGGTGGTATGTGATGCTTTCACTGATCGAGGACCGTTCTCATTTCATTTCCGTGACAGTTTTGGTCTACGTCCATCGCAGCTTCAGCTATTCAACTCCTTGGATTTGTTTACCTTCAAGAGAGTGAGTAATTGACTGATCGTGACACGCCCGTCCTCATCAATTGTGTTCAGCTTACCCACCCCTCTTATTGGAAAGGAAAGCAGAGCGGATTCGCAAGAGGATGGACACTGAAAAATCCACGTACAAAGAAATCCGCACCATTTTCGAAGGCCAAAATCGCTCGTAAGTCGTCTCATAATCTCTGCAAGACGAGCATCTGAGGACGATAATCTATATAGCTGGCAGACCGTCTTGGGCAAATCACTCAGTCGCCCATTTGCACTTTTCGCCTGTGAGCCGATCATACAGCTCCTCGGCCTCTACATGGCGTATCTATACGGGTTACTATATAGTGAGTGATTTATTCTTCTATGGACGTGGTCTCACATAGTCTCTCAGTCCTTTTGACGACGATGACATCGATCTTCCAAGGCGTATACCAGGAGTCGGTCGGAATATCCGGTCTTCATTACATTGCACTTGGCCTAGGGTTGATGATAGCGTCCCAATTAAATTCGAACACTATGGACAGGATTTTCATTTACTTCAAGACGAGGAACGGTGGAGTTGCGAAGCCAGAGTTCAGATTACGTTCGTCATCTTGTTCTAGTGCCTCCTTTCTTGAGTGCTCATCAGTGTACCATCAGCTGCCATGATTCCCGGATCTGTGATACTTCCCATAGGGTGCTTGATCGTAGGGTGGACTACTCAAGCCCATACTCATTGGATAGCTCCAGATATCGTAAGCTAATTCTGATTCTTCTTCTACCTTTTCTCTACTGACGGATTCAACAGGGTATCGCGCTCGTAGGAGCAGGTATCGTTCTGAATTTCCAGTGTATCCAGACCTACATCGTCGATTGCTTCACGCTTCATGCCGCTTCAGGTACATACGATTTAGTTCCCGCGTTAGTCACTCATCTCAAAATCTTTCATATTCAGCAATGGCCGCTGTCTCCTTTTTGCGGTCAATAGCAGGCTTTGGGTTCCCTTTGTTCGCTCCGTCGATGTACAACGCACTCGGGTTCGGGATGGGCGATACTATTTTGGCGATTGTGGCGGTTGTCATAGGATGTCCTGCGTGCGTCTTTGTTTTGAGTTTTTTTTGTGAATGTCATACTGAATCGATGATATTGCAGACCCTACATATTCTGGCGTTATGGGGAGCGGATACGGGGTGTCAGTCGATATGCACAGTGATGAATGATCCTGGAGACATTTATGAGCACACGACACGATCACTCGCGAGTTATGAATCCTGTTGGCAGTGATACTTTGAAACGGAAACGGAAACTAATGCCAGTGGTGGACATTGAAAACAGTCGATATACATAGCTTGTACGTACCACGATATGATAATTTAATATTGCAATGCATTCGAAAGCTGTCGTGTCCCTTGAGTTAGCTTTTGTTTTTGAACAGGGTGTTCAACACCGTTCCACGCTGGACCCTGAAAGGGTTCAGGGTGACGAAAGGGAAATACAAAACAAGGTCCAGGGATGGTAGACTTCGGGAAGCCTGAACTTCGGCATCAGTAAGTTGCATGATTAAGTTTCACTTACAAAGTACCATTTGAATTTTGCGCAGAGCTTGATTCAGATACGGAAGGACAAGGATTCTCGGCGTCAATCAGTTTAGCGCCTTCCCCGAGTCACGAGTGTGGAGTCAGCGGCACTGAGGGCAGCAATTTCATAAGTTGACCAAAACGGAATCTGTCCAATCGCCATGCGCTCGAACATTTCGATGCCTGTATGAGGGGCCGTGTATCATATGATTGAGAGTCTTGAGTAGGTATGATCCGAGTCGTGCGCTGGATGGTAAAGGTGAGGAGGGTCGATGGGCACCCCCAGTGCCCACGGGTATGGGGCCCTGCGGCAAGACAAGCTTGGTATCCATTATCCAAGGTCAGGGAGACTTAAAAACCGTGGCAGTGGCTTGATGGGTCATCTAAAATTCTACCACGTATATATGTCAACCAGTGTCTCAGATTCATCATGCATAGTGCAAGTGCCCACGTACCGTGTCCTATAAAGCAGCACTACCACCCCCATGTAGTGTAGTCTAGCGTAGTCTCCAGGAGTCCGGTGCTCACGCAATATAAAATATGGCACAGTGCCACAGTCGGTATTTTTCTACATCATTCATCAAAAACTAAGTTGGATTATGTAAGCGCTATTTCAAAATGAGTTGGCGCTATTTGGATGGAAAACGTCACGGCCCTTGGCAGTTGTCACTCAACTGGTTTCACTTGCAAAGTAGCTGTCGGTTGTCCGGACCTTACAGTAAAAGTATGTATATCGACAACGAGTGCCTCGCGGGCTTCATCCGACTCCAAGCGTAAGTTGAAGTTGATTCAACCGTGACTGGAAAACAAGCACCCCGCTAACGAACACAGTTAAAGCCTCCTCACTAAACTCCCCGTCCGAGTGAGGAATTTTTCTAATACAGTCGCGACCCGTTACTAACGTGAATATCCCTGGATTTACATATAAGTAGGCGAGTGAGTCCGGCCATCTTGTGAATATCGCTTGCGCATGTCCGCCATAAACCAACCCCCTGCGTCCGTGACTGGCACACTGACGCTAGAAGCCTCAGATTCCTCTGTATCTCTCACATCGACTTTACAAGGCGATCATGCGCCAAAACTAGTTTATCATACTCAAGAACACAGTAAATATTTTCAGAAGCCCAGCGAGCTGGTTGTGGCAACGGATGACTCTACAGATGTTTTGATCGTTGACTGGGACGGCCCAGATGACCCACAAAATCCTAAAAAGTACGTTTCATCACGGTGAGCAGAGAAATATAGCTACGGGGCTTACAGTTCTTGCACAGTTGGAGCTTTAGACGCAAATGGGTTACGACCGTAATCGTTTCATCGATTACTTTCATTAGTCCAATTTCCTCCTCTATGATCGCGCCCGCTACTGGTCAGGTCGCTTCTACATTCGGGATAAGAAGCGACATCGTACTTGCACTCACGACATCTATCTTTGTGCTTGCTTATGGTACGTGAACTTGACGGATGCTAGATACTCCACTCACTGATCGACCAATATTCACTAGCAATGGGGCCTTTGGTTCTGGGTCCACTGAGCGAAATTTATGGCCGCTCACGCGTATTGCAATTGTCAAATCTATGGTATCTTGGTATGTGATCATCGATCTACATTCTCAACTCCATTCTTAAATTGAGTTGGCAGCATGGAATCTTGGCTGTGGATTCGCACAGACAGAGTACCAGCTTCTTGCATTCCGATTCCTCGCTGGCCTTGGAGGCAGCGCGCCCATGTCGGTAAAGTCTCATTTTTTTTAAAAATAACAAGTATCTGTTCTGAATAGCTTCACTCTTCAGATTGGCAGCGGCGTTATAGGGGATTGCTGGCGAGTAGATGAACGAGGAAAAGCTCTTGCCATTTACACTTTGGCTCCGTTATTGGGCCCCGTCTTGGGACCTATCACAGGCGCATGGTGTGTGGCTATTCCGAGTTAAATGACGCTATCCTAATCTTCACCAGGATCGCTGAACGCTCGACCTGGAGATGGGTTGTATGTGTTGCTTCTATACAAATGGAAGACCGTTCTCATTTCTGTGGCAGTTTTGGTCTACGTCCATTGTGGATGTAGCTATTATACTTCTTGCATTCTTTGTACTTCAAGAGAGTGAGTAATTAACCAGTCGCGATTTCCTCGTCCTTATTAATTGTGTTCAGCTTATGCGCCCTTCTTATTGGAACAGAAAGCAGAGCGGATTTGCAGGTCAATGGACGCTGAAAAAGCCCCATACAAAGACATCCGCACTATTTTCGAAGGTCAAGATCGCTCGTAAGTCCTCTTATAATCCTGTAAGATTACATCTGAGGTCGCTGATTTATATAGCTGGCGGACAATCATGACTACAGCACTCAGTCGCCCATTCCAGCTCTTTATCCGCGAGCCGATCATGCAGATTTTCGGCATTTACATGGCGTATCTGTACGGGCTACTTTATCGTGAGTCATTTATTATTCCATGGACGTGATCTCATGGTCCCTCAGTCTTTTTGACGACGATACCGTCGATCTTTCAGGGCGAATACCAGCAGTCTGTTGGAATAGCCGGCCTTCACTACATTGCCCTTGGCGTAGGGTTGACTGGAGCATCTCAACTAAATGCGAAAACGATGGACAAGATCTACATGTATCTCAAGAATAAACATGGAGTTGGGAAGCCGGAGTTCAGATTGCGTTCGTCATTAATCCCACTGCCTCCTTTCCTGAGTACTGATCAGTATACCATCAGCTGCTATGATTCCAGGATCTCTGCTACTTCCGATAGGTTGCTTGATCGTAGGGTGGACTACTCAAGCCCATACTCATTGGATAGCTCCGGATATTGTGATTTGATCACTCTATCATTGTTTCTCTACTGACGGCTTCGACAGGGTATCGCACTTGTGGGAGCAGGCATCATTCTGAATTTCCAGTGCATCATGGCCTATGTCGTTGATTGCTTCACGCTTCACGCCGCATCTGGTATATATAATTTCGTTCCCGCATTGTCGTGGTCTATCTGATGTCCTTCCTATTCAGCGGTCGCTGCTGTGGTCTGCCTGCGGTCACTAGCAGGCTTTGTATTTCCCTTATTTGCTCCAGCTATGTACAGCACACTTGGGTTCGGAAAGGGTGATACCGTCCTTGCAGTTGTGGCGATCGTGATAGGCTGTCCTGCGTACGTCCACTTTATTCCTCTCATCGCCCTCCCACTCTTACTAATAGCTCCTGTAGACCTTGGATATTCTGGCATTACGGGGAGCGGATACGGAACAGCAGTCGATATGCGCGGCGTTGAATCTCGAACTGTTCGCGATCGCTGCAGGCAGCAATGGTATATTTTCACTATGTGTCCTGTTGCACGTAGCCGACAAACTCAGCATACACTCTTACTATTCCAACACGCTCCTCAGTTACACAGCACACTCCTTCTCGCATTTCCTCAGTCTTCTATCTTGGGCTGAGGGTACGTCCGTTCCTTCCACTAGCTATACGACTCGTAGGATTAATACTAACATCGTGTATACACATCTCGTGTATCTAGGGTATCATCACATTCACTATTCACTGTTTGAACGTTGAGTCGATAATATATATGTACACAACCGATTGCAATCATTTTTAAACGCCCTAGAAAAATATCGGGGCAGAAATGAATTTTACATAGCGGGGGGTATTATTGAAGGACTTCTAAAGCGCTGTAAATTGTAGTTGCATGAACGCCAAGATCAGACAGGAACTAGGGTGCGTTCTGAACAGGCATGCAGCAAACCCAGCCCATGAGGCGAGCACGCCATCCAGTGAAGGCGATATGAGGACGCGCGGTAGTTCCTGCTGTCCCCGTGGCACCAGCGACAGCGGGAGGTGGAGAGGCAGTGGCATTGGCATTGGGAGGTGGTTGCTGGATGGGATGTGCATGGGCAGTTTGCGAATAGCTGGCAGCTGGCTTCTTTTTTCGAGCGTAATAGTTTCTCTGTGCAAGACAAAGTCAGTGATAAATAAGAGCTGAGAAGAGGAAAAGAACATACAGGCTTGCCTGCTGTGTACGGGACCTCGACTATTGGCGGTTCTCGCAACCCAATGTCTTGTGCATCTCGTCTGCGCACCATGCCAGAGACTAGGTTCTGAGTCCAGCTGAAAGGGCTGGACCAAGATTGCGTGTGATGACCAGTCGCTCTGTGTCGATTGAAGCGGCGGCGCCAGGATGCGGGAAACGTGCGTTGACGCGGTGGTGGGGTGCTGCTGTCATGTTGTCCATGTGATTGAGTATGCGGAGTAGACAACTAACAATGTATCAATCAAGCCATTCAATCGTAGATGGAGTCCGTCACGTACATCAGCGCGTCGTGTACCGTCAAAAAACCCTGGGGGTATTCGAGGACGTGGAGCATATTTGATCTTTGGAGCTGGTTGTCGGATAGTGACAACCTGGGGGAGTAGATCCGTTGTGAGTGTGATTGAGGATGAAATGTATTCAAGCTTACATTGTTGGACAGAAGGCTAGCATCTTTGACGATAGTGGAAAGATCCCATTTGTATATGGGGGCGTCAATTCCCACGCTGGCAATGAGGAGGAACATTCCATCTGCGGAAAAGGCTGCACATGTCACATTAATGTCTTCATGGTGGAGTGGTGGTTCGATGCGCTGATTGGTTTTGAGGTTCCATAATTGCGTCGTCTTCTTCTTTGAGATTGATGTGCTTGCGAGGATACGCTTATTTGGAGATAATGAAATCATGTGAAAAGACCCTTCGGGGTCGAGTTCAAGGAAAGCCGTTTCGGACCACGTGGCGGTATCGAATTTCGTGGTGCAGAAGGATCCCCCGGCGATAAGTGTTTTTCCATCGGAGGTCCATTCCAAGCACGAAACAAATTCCTGGATTGTTGTGAGCAATTCGCCTGTGTTGGCATCCCAGACTTTCAACTTGGACCCGCCCGTAGCAATTATCTTGGCATCAGGTGAATAGCAAACCGCCAAATTAGATTGCGCTGACTTGATCGGTCCCAGGATTGTCGTGCCGCTCTCGACATCCCATACTCTGAATGTTCCATCGGAGGATCCGCTCACCACTCGCCCTCCGTCTGGACTCCAGCACACAGACTTCACTTCCGCTGTGTGACCCATCCATTTTTTGATGATCTTGCCCGTGTCGATGTTCCACAATCTCACTGCGCCATCTTCACTCCCGCTTGCTACTGTCTTGCCGTCCGGCGACAATGATATGACCTTCACTCCTATTTCTTTGTCCTCCCATTCCTCCTGCATGCCCGTCTCCAAGTCCCAGACTCGAAATGAGCCATCCCGTGAGTGGGTGATGATCCGACGTCCACCGGGCAGGTGCAACATCCGTTTGACGGCACCGTCCCGTGGCGCGCCTTCGATGTTCCTTGTTGTGATCTTTTTGTAAGGGATTGTCACTGAAGTTTCTTTCTTCGCAGGGGCTGGATGCGGCATGGTTTGGGTTCGGGGACTCACTTAATGGACGCGGTATAATTTAAGCTTCTAACATTACCTGCCACACGAATCTCACTTACTTGGTCAGAATACAGAGGTAGACGGAAAGACAAATGCTGAAGAAGCTGGAGCGGAGTGGGTATCCAGAATTAAGTTAACTCGCGAGGGAGATCGTTCAAGTCCTCCACAGCAAGTTCATCCTCGTGTTAGCATCACGGCATCGTGCACTGGCTGTGCAGGTCAAGCGCCCAATTCTATTTTCGTTCCTAATTTTTTCATCGACCCCATGGCACCGCATCTGATAGACATGTTATCCAGCGAGCCTGCATTCCTGTTTTGCACTAATTGGGGTCGTGAAAGGAAAACGTCTTGAGGTAGTGTCACTCAATTGGTTTCACTTGAATAGTAGCTGTCGGTTGTCCGGGCCTTACAATAAAAGTATGTATCGACAACGAGTGCCCCACAGGGCTTCATCCGACTCCAAGCGCAAGCTGAAGTGATACAACTGGAATACAGGCACCCCGCTAGCGAACACAGCTGAAGCCTGTTCACTAAACTGCCCGTCCGAGTGAGGAATTTTGCTAATGCAGTCGCGACCCGTTACTAACGTGAATATCCCTGGATTATACTCCTTCTCGCCTTTCCTCAGTCTTCTATCTTAGGCTGAGGGTACGTCCGTTCCTTCCACTAGCTATACGATTCGTAGGATTAATACTTATATCGTGTATACACATCTCGTGTATCTAGGGTTTCGTCACATTCACCATCCACTGCTTGAATGTTGGTCGATAATATATATGTAACACAGTCGATTGCAATCATTTATAAATGCCCTAGAAATATATCAGAGCACCAATGGATTTCACATAGCGGGGGTATTACTGAAGGACTTCTGAAGCACTGTAAACTGTAGTTGCGTGAGCGCCATGATCGGACAGGAACTAGGTTGCGTTCTGAACAGGCATGCAGCAAACCCAGCCCATGAGGGAAGCACGCCATCCAGTGAATGCGATATGAGGACGCGTGACAGTTCCTGCTGTCCCCGTGGCACCGGCGGCGGCGGGAGGTGTCGAGGCAGTGGCATTGGCATTAGGAGGTAGTTGCTGGGTGGGATGGGCATGGGCAGTTTGCGAAGAGTTGGCAGCTGGCTTCTTTCTCCGAGCGTGATAGTTTCTCTATGCAAGACAAAGTCAGTGATAAATAAGAGCTGAGAAGAGGAAAAGAACATACAGGCTTGCCTGCTGTGTACGGGACCTCAATTATTGGCGGTTCTCGCGACTTGACGTCTTGTACATCTCGTCGGCGCACCATGCCAGAGAGTAGGTCCTGAGTCCAGCTGAAATGGCTGGACCAAGGTTGAGTGTCACGTTGAGTCGCTCCGTATCGATTGAGGCGACGGCGCCAGAATGAGGGAAACGTGCGTTGACGCGGTGGTGGGGTGCTGCTGGCATGTTGCTCATAGGATTGAGTACGCGAGGTAGACAACTGACGATATACGGGTCAAACCATTCAATGATGGATGCAATCAGTCATGTACATCAGCATGTCGTGCGTCGTCAAAAAATCCTGGGGGTATTCGACGAGGCGGAGCACCTGCGATTTTTGGGGTTGGTCGTCATGTAACATCAACCTAGGGAAGTAGATTCGTTGTCAGTGCTATCACGGATGAAATATATACAAGCTTACATTGCTGGACATGTACAGAAGCCCAGCTTCTTTCACGATAGCGGAAAGATCCCACTTGTATATGGGAGCGTCAAATCCCGGGCCGCCAACGGCGAGGAACATTCCATCCACAGAAAAGGCCGCGCACCGTGCTCTTCGTAAATCTCGAGAGGAAGCAGCTGAAGAAGCGGGAGCAGGCTGTCGATATTTCTCCAAAGGAAATTCAATGCAGGATCTCAGAAGGTCTTGCAGACCTGAGAAACCCTAGCTATGTCCTTGACGCCCTGGCGAAGGTTGGGTCCCTCGTCACTGTACACCTCGCGAAGAATGTGGGTGAGCAGCTCGCTGATTGCGAGGGCACGATGCATTCGGGTACATGACAGTGAATGTTAATCTGAACGTTTAAATCCTCAAAGTGCGATTCGGAGTCGATATCAGGTTGAAATGATGTTCCACTTGACTGACAAGCCATGTCAAGCACCACGTACACATGGAAACCAAGCAAGTGAAACGATCGCACTACTGGAACCACAAAGACACCGTGGTTGGTTATAAAGGTACACGCATGGCGTTGGGAGACCGTTGAACATATGTAGTCAAGTGGAGGGCTGCAGAATTTCGACACATCTAACAGAAGTTACAGAACTCGGAATTTGAGGAAAATTGAATTGGCTACAACTTGTGATCCTAACAAGCGTCAATAAACATCTTGTTCTTCCTACCTACCCCAAGTAACAAGTTTCACTTTCACATATAAAGTTGTTTTACAAACAGGTGGAATACAATACAGCGCGATCGGAAACCGAGGCAAGTTGGACTTAAACAAGCCGACGGTCAAGCCTGAGGAATGTGAGGCGAACGCGCTGGACAAACAGATTGCGCTGTATTCTGGGTTGGCAGCGAGGACGCACACGCATGGCGCATATAAATTTCTAGATACAACCCAATAATTTGAAAGTATCCATCACATTACCTCAACATGGAGTCTTCCACCTCTCGAGTGCATATGGTCGCATATCACTGAAATACTCGTGTACTGTACCTACACATGCTATACATCACTGTTGGCAGTTAATTCGTATGTGCGCTCATGGAATACGATTGTAGTCACGACAGTTCCTTCGTCAGAATTGACCAGAACCTGCGCGTTATATGCCCGAATGTCAAGGATGAGGCGTGGTCCCAGTACAAACAACTGCACAACCGAAAGAACTGGAATAACACCACCATAAAGTTGAATTCCCACAGTAGAGATGTTCTATAGGAATGATGAGCGTTTAAATCCGGGTGTCAGCCGCAAATTATGCGTACCCGCAGCTTTGGGGACAGTTTGCTGAATGTGAAGCAAGAAAAAAGAACAAAGCTAGCAGAGGAATATCAGCGGAAAGATATGATTATATTCAAATCATAAACGTACGCTGCAAAGTAAAACACGTGTGTCTTGATCAACACTGTGAAACAGTCTTTGACATTCCATCTTGTCGATTGTTGTCGCAGTTCATGGAAGTGTTTTATGGCAATCCAGATGGCAAGACTCAAGGTGAGGACCTCCCATGTGAGTGCAGTAACGAGCATCCAATCATTGTTAATGAGAAGTGGGACATTTCCCCCTGAGGGGATGTAGTCGCACTGATACATGCCAGACAGGACGAACTCCTCTGGAATTCCCATGAGACTCTTACACTTGAAAACTTCCATCCGTATAGCTTACCTCCTCGAGTATAGCTACTTGCTACTGTGAGAATCACTCCGGTTACGATCATGAGTGCCAAGGAGACCACAATGAGAAAGATGAGCATCTTCCTGGATCCCAGATACATCGCATGTAACCGAATGATCATAACAACTTGCATAATATTTCAGTCAAGTCAAAGGTACTGCAGCTGAGGAGCTCACTGCCCAGCATGACCATTACGACGGCAGGGATACAGTTTTGTATGACCCAAAGGATAGTGCCTGAAAAAATCAGTTACTGACGAGCCTCGGAGATGCTTCAAACAAGCTCACAGCTGTTGCAGTCATTATGTTGAACCAACAAGTCGGTCAAGAATATTACTCACCCCTACATAGAAGTACAGTTAAGTTCGGAAGGAAAAACTTGATGCGGAAGACCCACTGTATCTGTCACCGGAACTGACAGGATATTCCCTGCATTTCACTGGTCAGAAACAACAGACACAGTGTATGTGAAAAGACATACATAGTATGCTGGTGCTGCTCGTGAGAGATGGCTTGTTAACACAGTACCAACTTGTTAGTCCCGAAAACATACCCGCAGTATATTACTCCAAAGAAGCGTACCTAGAACATTTTATGTATAGTCAGCACAGCTTCGAACATAAGACAAGGTGCGCACACTGAGATATAGAACCGTGACGAGTGACCAGCGTTGCGACTGCCCCAAATGGATTATAACACCCCTTGCAATATGGGATTCTGCTTACCCAGATCAGTTCTAACTATAAACCCGCTGTCAGTGAGATGGCCGCTCAGATAATAGCATCAACCTACCTCTTGCCCAGATATCAGTACTGGAGAACACGATAGTGGCATAAGCAGTTCCGCCAAGATGAGTATCATGTGGCTTACCCCAATCGTATGCCACCATAACAGATGATGCAACTGCGAAACCACAATCAATGATTGAGTGAAAACTTGATCGTCCAACTTCTTTCCACGAACCTATAAAATAACTGTAAACAAGCGAATAGTTGATTACCGGCCACCATCTGGGATCATTCAAGATTTGAGTCATATTCAAGGTATCAGTGGTAGCGAAGTCGGTGGACTACAGTGTACGAAGCACTAAGGTACCACCTTCGTATATTGAGCTGTGAGATGTGAGGAATGACGATAACGAGCTCCGTGAGAGCTCGGATGTGCTGTGTGTAGTGCTACTGCGATCTAGGCCGTGTGCAGACCTCGGGCCAGAAGGAGACGTAAGTCCTGGAAGACCAAAATGAACGCTAGGATGGAAATGGGATGGTGGGTGGGTCGAAAAAATCGTACGCGCGTCGCACAAGAAGATGGGAATGAGAAGAAAAGGAACGAGGCGAGTGAGAATCTGCGAAGTCCCGTCCTATGAGGGGTGCACAGGCCCCAGCGCTTCACGTGACTAAGGAAGAAACACTGGGAGGAGAATCTTCACGTGACAGCTCTACGAAGGCCTAGCTTCACGCGTCAACGCGTCAACGTTCAATGGGCTGATTGGTTTCGAGGTTCCATAGTTGCACGAGTTCAAGAACAGCCGTTTCAGACTAGGTGGCGGTGTCGAATTTCCTGATGAAGTTGGATGCCGCGGCGATAAGTGTTTTCCCATTGGACGTCCATACCAGGCATGTAACATATCCCCCATCGATTGATATCGTTGTGAGCAGCTCGCCTATGTTGGCATCCCAGACTTTCAAGTCGTCCCCGCCCGTGGCAATCATTTTGGAACCGGGTGAGTAGCAAACCGCGGCTATGAATTGCCCTGCCTTCATCGGTCCAAGGATTGTCGCACTGCTCTCGATGTACATCCCATACTCTGAATGTTCCATCTTCCGATCCGTTCACCACTTGCCCTCCGTCTGAACTCCAGCACACAGACGTCACTTTCGCTGTGTGACTCATCCATTTTTTGATCACCTTGCCTGTGCCGATGTTCCACAATCTCACTGCACCATCGTTACTCCCGCTTGCAACTGTCTTACCGTCCGGCGACAATGCTATGGCCTTCATTCCTGTTTCTTTGTCTTCCCATTTGTCCCCTACCTGCGCATCCGTCTCCAAGTCCCAGACTCGAAATGAGCCATTATATGAGTATGTGATAATCCGCTGTCCACTGTGCAGGTGCAAGATGTGTTTGATGCTACTGTGCCGTTGCGTGCCGTAGATATCATCTGTTTTGATTTTTTGTAAGGTATTATCGCTGAAGTTTGTTGCTTTGCAGGGGCTGCATCTGGCATAGTTTCGTTCTGGGACTCGGCTAATGGGTGCAGGATAATTTCAGCTTTTACATTATATACCACACGAATATCACTTACTAACTTGATCAGAGTAAGAGGTACACAGAAAAACGAATGCTGAATGAAAGCTGCAATGGAGTGGTGGCGGGGACGTTGTTCAAGCGTCCTCACTTCATCCCCATATTCGCTTCCCCGTGTTCGCTACATCACCATGTTCGCTTCATCCCAGTGTTCGCTTCATCCCTATGTTGGTTTCACAGCTTGATCACTGACGGCTGCCATGCGGATTAAGCGCCCAACTCTCTTTTCTGACAATGTGCGTTTAATTTTGTCATCTGCATTGGTCCAACGGTATCGTGTCTGATAGTCCTGCTATCTTGCATTCATGTATTCTCTCCACTAGCTCAATATTGTTCTGCGATCTTCGTATCCATCCCCTCGCGCCGCATTTCCTTTGAGAGTCCAACAGGACGCACCACGCTATTCTGACCGACCTTTTCCCCTCAGTTCTCTACGCCAACTCTTAGCCAAATCGCACTCTGACAATCCTCATTCCTGGTCACATTTTCCCAGTCTTCGTCCAATTAGTCATCTCTCGTCTTCTCGGACTCTACTGTGTCCCGTATTCTGAGGAACATCGTGGAGACTATGCAGTACGAAGCAAACTTGAATAGTTTGTCTCTTTCCACATCACGAGCAAGTGGTTCGTCGCGTCGTCTACTGTGTAGAAATCGTACGTTTTTTCAAGGCATGTCTTGGTAAGCAGTTCCCTGTTGTTCATCGGTATTGATATCATCAAGCAAGAACTTGAACGCCCTGATCGGATCATCCACCATCTCTCCATCTCGTCAATCGGTTGTGTACGAGTCGTGTGTGTTGGAATTTCTCCGAAGGACTTCCTGACCATCTCCAATACTGGTCAAAGCCTAACGAGCTCGTCTCAGCTCTCAGCTCATCGTACAGGGATCGGGTTGTATTGACCTTATGGCCGGGTCTGTGAGGAATAACTGCTTACAGGAACAACACGGATCCATCTCAATACGGAATGATAGCGCGCGATCAAAATCATTCTTCTCACCACTGGCCAGGTGTTGGCTCCACAGGCCTCAGTCATCCTGTCAAGGTACTCATTAGATAGCTCTAAATATTGTAATGTGATTCTTCTATTACCGTGTCTCAACTGACTGTTTCGACAGGGTATCGTACTCGTCTGAGCACGCATCATTCTGAATTTCCAGTGTATCTTGGCCTATGTTGTCGATTGCTTCACGAAGCGTACATCGAAATTGGTATGTAGGGGAAACAAGAGCCGGGTAATTCGTTCTGTACGGATGGTGAAAAATAAATCCAACAAAAAAAGACCAATACTTACCGTCCATTATGGTATCCGAGGGGAAAGCGCGCTTGCGGCTTTTGATTACAAGCAGCAACTTGAAGTACGCCTTCTTGTACGGCAGTAATGTCTCTGAAGAAACGACGAACAGGTGTAATTTCACTACCATGCGATTCGGAGTGGAACGTGCGACCTTGGGCGATGAAAGCGTTATTGCAATGACTTGCTACAATGAAAACTATACTTTACCTCAGTCAGTGCGATGATCTGCAAGGAAATATCATCGTTAGTTGACTGTAAAAGAATATTAAAAAAGACAAGCTTACCTTTCGCCCGTTGCGTTGTAATTGGCAGTCTTCTGAACGGCTAGTGATCGCCGTGATGTCATAGATAGCGTCCAGAAAAAGGTATGGAGAGTTCAGACGGTTAGCCATATCAATGTCGCCTCGTCGATTATAATCATCGAGTGCAGTCATGTTATTGGCCATGATCATTAAAAATTAGGTGTGAGTGGAGGGAGAGATGGAAAGAAAGATGTGGAAAGAGAAACGCCACCAACATGGGATTTATAGTCACATAATGTGGCAGAGCTCCGATCCTTGGGTCCACAAATATTCGAAGGGCGCTTGCCAGTGTATGTCACATACCTTTTAAGTACACCAATAGAACAAATGAAAGTATCATCACATGGCTGCGGTACATTCCGTGAACAGTGGACATCCACAGATGACTCCGCTAGCGGAGGGTCTAGCTTGGGATACAGTTGCGCACTATTCTAGCACATGCCCTCCTGGCCATGTCAGAGTTTCTAAAATGGAAAATGCGGCACGCATATCAGCACCAAATAACACGTGTACAATAATCAACACTGCCCGCAGGATTCATCATTTATGAGCTGTCGTGTGCCATGTCCATGCGCACAACATCAGGATTACATCGCACTAGCTGAAAGTATCAGCTCATGACTGGACCGAAGCGTGCTGCAAAAATCCTCGCTATGAGAAAATGATGTAACCCAGTTTTGTACTTGTTCCTGCAAGTAGAATTCTTGAATTTACTGAACGGTCCACGGTGCCGGCAAAGTTCAAAGTTCAAATTTCAAAGTTAAACCATGCGAGGGGTTTGCATCACGTGCAATGCAATCATGATCACGTGCAGGCGTAGTACTTGGGAGGGTACCGACACGAACTTCAAAAGTTCCAATCACTAGCATGGTTCCCCGGTATCCTGGCTCAGCTATCACGTCCGGATTAGTACCGCACGCAATCGTTCAATTCCAAGACTACTCAAATTGTTGCAATGACGATACTCCTGCCGTTCCACAAATCAATCCTTGAGGAGATTTATGACCCTGCTACTTCAGACTTACTCATTCTTGCCCGTGGGCTTGGTCTTCGTCGTGTCATATGCATGCTCATGCAAATATACGACTCAAAGCAAAGTCTTATTCTACTCTTGAACGCCTCACCGGAAGAGGAAACTGCCATAGGTGATGAACTTGGTATCATGGGGTGCAGGCGGCCTGGATTGCGAATTGTGGGTTATGAGATGGGAAAGCGGGATAGGTAAGTTATCGATGCCTATCGTTAAAACCAATTAGTTTGAGAACTATGAACTACTAACAACTGTTCGTGCTGTTCTCGCAACATATTGATACGACGCTCGCAGACAGGACCTCTATAAGAACGGCGGCTTCATTTCTGTCACCTCCCGTATTCTTATCGTTGACATGCTGCAATCAGACATTCCAACAGAGCTCATAACGGGCATAATTATTTTACATGCTGAAAAGTGCGTGCGTGCTCTTCTACATTGTGCTCGGTGATGAATTAATGCATCAACCAGGGTCACTGCCCTCTCCCTTGAAGCTTTTATTGTCCGGCTGTACCGAGAAAAGAATAAGGCTGGCTTTCTCAAAGCATTCTCAGACCAGCTGGAGCATATCACCAGCGGTATGTCTCCTCTGAAGAACATGAAGGAGCTTCAATTGAGACGCGTTCATATCTATCCTCGGTGTGTGACATCCTTCCTCGCTGATGTTCATGTTGTTCGCCTTCTAGTGCTCGTGTTACCGTCATTTCTCATCTATTCTGGCTCTATATTTCACGAAGACGTCAAAAACACGCTTGAAACCCGTAAAGCGGATGTCATTGAGTTGTATCAACATCTTACAGAGCCTATGGAGGCAATTCATCATGCGATAGTCCAATTGCGGGATACACAGCACCATTCAGCCGTGAACACCTGATCCTTGGTTCATTCATCTGAATCATCTCGTCAGATCGCTGACATCTGTCTTGTGTCGCTCCTTCATCGACGCAATTAATATGTCTTCGGCGCACCTGAAAATGCGCGAAAACAAAACCACTCCAGCCTATGTATATAAACATATCCCAAGATTGATGGCTTGATGGTACATAATGAACAGTTTTCTTACAGTGGTATTACATATCTCAGACAACAATCAAACTTCATAGCGGCGCACCCGAAGGGGCACACGTTCAGGATCAGCACTCCCAGCCACCCCCGGTCTTGCTATAGGCCCAAAGCTCTCCACCATCTTCATCCCAGGGCTTTCCATCTCAAACAAAAAGTTTCGCACAAGGATGAACAGCACGGCCTAGGACGAGACCAAACTCGGTCAAAATGAATCAGACAACAACTCTTGCCCCGCTGCGTACCTTGAACTCTGTCAACGCAAATACCTTCCCTAGGCAGATCCGCGCGCCATCGCCGAATGTCATTAGATGACGATAGCCATGCAGTGCTTCTTTACCGTGCGTGCCCATGTCCTCTTCGAGCCATCGGGAAGGTTTGAACGCCTTTGCATCAGGCCCCCACATGCCAACCGAGCAATTGAGTGCGACGGGCGGGATCATGACCACTGTTCCCTTTGGGATGCATACACTGTCGGTATAATTTCCGTCAGCCGTGCGCAAGGGCTTGCTGAGCGGAATCACGTCTTCTTGGATAGCCTATCATAGTCAGTTCGAGTAAGTTGTGTGGAATTTCTGCCGGATACACACTGATGCTGGGATTTCCTTTACTGGTGCGTGGAAGCGAAGAACTTCATTGACTATAGCGTCCAGGTAGGGAAGCTTACCCGCGAGATCGTCATATGTTGGGGTTGCCCCGAACTCTAGACACTCGTCGCGAAGCTTCGTCTGCATATCTGGATTCTGCGCAAGTTCCACCAAAGCCCACTGTGAAGTTGAGAAACCCAGTTGGAGCAGTGGACGATTCGAAACTTACTGTCATGCTGACTAATAATTTATGAATATGCAAGGCATGGTCAGTAAGAGGTTCTTTTGCAAATATGCATGCACGTTACTTGAAGTGGTCTCAAAGCCGGCGACAAGTAGAGTCTTTGCCTGGCAGAGTCAGAGATCAGTGTCGCATCGTTCAGGAGAGCTCTATGATTCGCTTACTTGGTCTAATACTTCTTGATGTGTCAATGCCGCGTCCTCCGCTTTCACTACACAACAATTGTGGTGTTTCAATTTTGGAAGCGAAGGGCAGACTCACGGAGCAAACCCAAACATGATTTATCCCCCTGCGTAGCGCCACCAGTCTCTATTTCCTTGCGCGACCGCAAAAGCATCTCCTCGCATATTTTGCCAACGATCAGGCTCAGTTTCTGGGCGAACTGTGTACGAGGCAATGGTAGCTTCAGGATAGAAGGAAAATTTTGTGCGAGAATGACCAAGCTGTGGGCAGCGTTTCCAGACAAACCAAACGCGTTCAGGACGTCTGCGGCCTCGGAGTGATTTCCGTTGAGTGCGCCGAAGTCATGGGATAGAACAGCTATGCCCACACTATCGAGTCTACGTGGTGGGTGTTGGATGAGATAACAGCCTGGTTGAGAGGAAAGGATATACATACGAGATGAGATGTGATTCATCCTGCATAATATATGTCTGAGCACGCGGGTAGGAAACTTTGGGGAAGGACATAAATACCATTGTTGAACATTAATCACAGCGTTTTGAGTTCCTTGGTTCGATGCTATCTCAGCTTCCCAAGCGATCACTGCCTGTGACCTATTTTGAGTACAGTTACGGGCGAATAATTAGTGACTGACCTTGTGAGCGGAATCTTGGAAAACAGACGTCAAGTTGCGGATGGCAGCTGCGCTAAAGGCAGGGTTGAGAGCCTTGCGCTGCCTGATGAATGACATAGAATGGCATGGATTTAGCTCTGCACGACTTGAGGATCACAATTCCGACCTTTTGTGACCTTCACCATCGGCCCACAGAACTCCTCGTCCAACCTGTCAGTCGCAGAGGCGCATCATTACCATATAGCTGTACAATGAGGTAAAGGGACATACAGTTAGTTGACCGGCGATCTTGTTGAATGGAGTTTGATTATACAACCAAGTGTCTTTTGCAAAGAAATGAGCGATGGCTTTGGGGTCCCATAGTATGACCTTGGACTCTCCCAGGACGAGGGGGATTTTGTATACTGGACCGTACTCATCGGCCCAACGTTCATACAGTTCAGTAGCGACAGCAGGATCTAGCAATATCTTGGAGAAGCCCCACATCCAACTTGGGCTCTGAGGCCCTCGTAGGCATGTCGTTCGTTGTCTTCGATGATAGACTTGCAGGAGATAGAGGGACGCCAGTATTAGAACTGAGACACCTGCCGTTGAGCCTGATAGGGGCACTGCGAGGCAGAGGTCATTAAAGGCAAGCCAAATGTCCCTGCTTTGTGAGATACCCATGGTTTTGAATCAGGATCATGACCGGGTAGTAACAGTATACTTATACAGCCAGTGAATGACATCGCCCGCGTACATCGCCAACTGCCGAAAACCTATGACTGTCACTACTGACCCTATGTAATTCGCAACGGTGACCGATCGAAAAGGATAAATCAGTGATTTTGCTGATGGGCCTGAGCGCTAATGAGCAAGCGTTGCGTACATCGTGACATCCAGTCTCGTGACCGAAACGCAAAACGTTCATGACACAAGCCCATCAGCCCCCGAAGTTCATCGGCGCACCTGAAAATGAGCAAAAATCAATATTCCCCCAGCCTATGTATATAAACATATCCCAAGATTGACAATTTAATGGTACATAACCGCAGACCGCAATGATCAATCAAACCTCATAGCGGCGCACCCGGAGGGGCACACGTTCAGGATCAGCACTCCCAGCCACCCCCGATCTTGCTATAGGCCCAAAACTCTCCACCATCTTCATCCCAGGGCTTTCCATCTCAAACACAAAGTTTCGCACAAGGACGAACAGTACGGCCTAGGACGAGACCAAGCCCGGTCAAAATGAATCAGACAATAACTCTTGCCCCGCTGCGTACCTTGACCTCTGTCAACACAAATACCTTCCCTAGGCAGATCCGCGCGCCATCACCGAATGTCATTAGATGACGATAGCCATGCAGTGCTTCTTTACCGTGCGTGCCCATATCCTCTTCGAGCCATCGGGAAGGTTTGAACGCCTTTGCGTCAGGCCCCCACAAGCTAACTGAGCAATTGAGTGCGACGAGCGGGATTACAACCACTGTCCCCTTTGGTATGTATACACTGTCGGTATAATTTCCGTTAGCCGTGCGCAAGGGCTGGCTGAGCGGGATCACGCCATCTTGCATAGCCTGTCATAGTTAGCTCAAGTGAGTGTGTGGAATTTCTGTCGGATACGTATTACGCACTGATCGTGGAATTTCCTTGGCTGGTGCGTGCGGGCGAAGAACTTCATTGACTATAGCGTCCAGGTAGGGAAGCTTATTCGTGAGATCGTCATATGTTGGGGTTGCCCCGAACTCTAGACACTCGTTGCGAAGCTTCGTCTGCATGTCTGGATTGCGCGCAAGTTCTACCAATGACCACTGCGAAGTTGAGAAACTCAGTTGGAGCAGTGGACGGTTCGAAACTTACTGTCATGCTGGCTGATAAATACGCAAGGCTTGGTCAATATCAGGTTCTTTTGCTAGACGAATGCACGTACTTGAAGTGGTCTCAAAGTCGGCGACAAGTAGAGTCTTTGCCTGTCAGAGACAGAGATCAGTGTCACATCGTTCAGGAGAACTCTATGGTTCGGCGAACCACTCACTGGATGAGGCTTATTACTAGGCTGAACCTTGGCAGGTTTCGATAACACCCAGGCTTGGTTCTCTTGTCCGTCTTCCCAAGATCCTAAATCTTCAACAAGCTGCCTCGCACTGCGTCCTCCTCCCCAATATTCACCAACGCACCTCTCCGCCGGGTGCGTGACTCGCCATCCAGCGTGTGTGACCCAGCTCGTAGTTGATACAAAATCCTTGTTTAGAATGTGTACACTATCCGTAACGGGCAGCCCAGCGCTGGAGGAGACGACAGCTGAGATTTCTGAGGCGCTTTTGAAAATCTCGGGTGAGCTAGCAAGGTCATGGACGTCCTTCACAGGGTGAACATCGAAAAACGCAAATTGGCGAAGCTGAAGGAGGTGTCTAGTCAACTTGGTCTAGTAATCGAGGGCGACTACGTGACATGGCCAAGATAGTAGCAGCTACAGCAGTCGTATTTGTCATCGATAAACAATAAACTATTTTCATTGGCTAACTGCGCTACTGATGTATTACTCACCTCGTCAGCTCATTGAGTAGACCACGTTAATGTAAATGCTGCAAGTGTGTAGGTAAATCAAAATAGCGCTGAGCTTTCCGACTGATGGATTCAAGTTGACGAAACGCTGCGCTGCCAAACGAATACTCGCAATATGCCACGTGTGCGCAATCTTCGTTGTCACGACATTGGAGAGTAAGCTGCGGCGAACTGCACCACACGGAGAATTCTCCTTCAACACCTATGATATAATATCAACAAGTGTTGCAAGAAAGTATGGCGAGGTGAGGTGGCCTATCTACCATATGTAAGGATGGAACTCTTCGTTCCGCGAAGTGATTCGCATGAATCCCATGTGCGAACTCCACTTGAGCCTTCACCTGAGCTCCACCTAGCCAGTCGGTGCGCGTTCGGCAGTCATCCATTGTCCGCAGTGCAACTATCATTATCTCCGTGTCACTGCATGAATGTCCTTTCAAAGAGACTCCACCTTGCATGGCGATAGCTGGTCTTCATTGTCCACTCTGTACGCTAACGGACTGTCTTCGTGCGTAAATTTGGGCACATTCACCTGCAAGGGTTTCATAGGATATTGCTGCAAGATTCCCTGTTCCGTGTCACCAGAGCCTGTAGTCCCTCTAGGAGTCGAAAAGACGGCCTTCGAGATGTGACTGTGCTTTTTTCTATTGAATGTGATGCGAATAAGCACCATGTAGAAGGCAATCGATATGACGGGCATAACCTAGTTAATCAGATATCAGTACTTGTCCATGGGAGGTGTAAACGGCGGAGTTACCAGGTCCGTCAAAACTCCCTCTCCGTTGTTCCCGGAGAGGAAACAAATTAGTAGGCTAAAAAGCACTATGGAGTATAAAACAGCGGCATCCACAAGTATGCGCACTATTGGCATCATGGTGCCACTCGTAGCACGCACTCGGGAGACAGCGCGTTCGGTCATCCAGATGCGATACGCCAGTAATCCTAGATACCTTCAGGCCTCGACGTCGTGCTGGTGGAAACGTGCTTACCTGAACACAACAAATTAGTTGTGATAGTTGAAGCAAAGAATGCCGTGATCCACTTTGTAAGTTGTGAAGCGAAGACGTCTCCGGGGTTAGAACTGGCTTGCGAAACACTGTAGACTGCATGAATGCCAGTCACTACAAGGCAATGTCAGATCACACGACTTCCTGGATATTATTGCCACCGAACCTACGATGCCACACCACAGCATGCTTGGTAAGATGATAACGCGGATGGATTGCCATACAACATAGCAGCGATAAACCTTTTACCAGACAAGGCGATTCTCAGGTGGTCTTGAGCTGTCATAAGAAATATGAACCCACCATCACCCCATCAGCAACTACAGTTTGGAATATGTATAATGCGTGTTTGATAACATATGTTTCTTCGGTGATGTCTGCGAAGAACGCCGCTGGCCCACCTGGCCAAGTATCACGATACTTCACAAATCCGTTTTCGACGCGAATAATGGTCACGATCATGTGCTTAAGAAATGTCGAATGTCAGGGAATGGCATCACACTATACAAGAAACCTGAAACTAACCACGGTGCTTACTAACAACAGCAGGATAGCCACCATAGCGATTGGGCGATTAATGTCCTGCATGCGACTCTTGTAGGTCAAGGCCCATATGGTACCCATAAACATGAGGACTGAAAAGCCTGGAGAAGTGATCTAGCTTGGTAGACAAGGAACGGATAAACCTATTGCGATGCTCACCATATAAAATCCCTTCTAGCACTGCTGACATTAAAGCGCCCGTATCCGGGGGGATACCAGCCATGGCGAGTCTACAACCTGGGAGATGTGCGAAGGCGTGTGCATCTTCGCCAGTTTCATGTATATCGTTATATAGGTCATCGTATCACCAATCCGAATCCGGGCAACCGAGGTGCACGCCCCACAGGGCTAGACTCAATGGCTGTATAATGATACATCACGCGCAGTGTGATGAAGGATTCTAAAATGAAAGGAATAACAAACTTCCTTCTATAAATTGATTGGTCTGCCCGGAAGCTAGATATTTTCGGTTGCAGCCGCAGGAGAAACGAGTTCTGAATCCGAACGACTGCTATCGCGCGAATGGCTTCCGCGGAACCGTTCCGTGATGTAAGATAGGGCTCATGCACAAAGTTGGATGTGGATGGGCGTTACTCGGATGGTTCATTGATGTCGCGGAAAAATCCGGGGCTCCAGTTATAAATATCTGGCAGGCGCAAACTTCAAACTTTGCAAGCCTTGTGGCAGTGCCAGTGATCCAAATGTAGCGGTAGGTTCTGCAACATGAGTTACATGCATACCATCATCACACGAGGAACACACGCCTCAATGCAGAATCTTATCATGTCCCGTTTGTCGTGGCGCTAGCTATAGAAGCTTTGATTCGTCATTCTTTACATACGAGAGTGTCACGAGTGCCGATTCTTTGGGTAGGAAGATCTAAAATTTGTATTGATGCATCATGTGAGTCTCCGAATCATTCCCTGAGTAGCTGCGGGGATAAATGATTTATGTAGTACGTCGAAACTCTTGTGTTCCTTTGGCGTTGCTAGTGAAATTGGTTCTGACGGTCAAAAATGTCTTCCTCAACGCAGGGCCTCTTCCCACAAGTTGACCTCGGAAACACGTATGGGGCGCTTTTCATTGGGGCTATTGTTGCGGGAATGTGAGCAATTAGTTTCAATTCTTTTCTCACTATCCAGACAAAGCTGACGCCACCGCTTGTCTTATCAGCCTCTTTGGTCTAACCAATGTTCAGGCTTTCATCTACTTCCAGACGCATAGGGGCACAGGGACAACATTCTATAAGCTAGTCGTGCGTCCATGCTGCCTTCTTCCCAGTTCTGTTCTTCACGCTACGGCGATAGGTCATCGTGCTTTGGTACATATCCCTTCGAGTTTATCTCGTCAAGCGCATCAAAATTAACTGAACTTTGACAGGATACTTGATGCTCTGCATCTGGTCTTCATCGTCCATTGTATCTATTATTATTTAGTGAATCACTTCGCGGACATTGGTGCGCTCACAAGAATTGTATGGAGTTTCAAAGTGAGTTTCTCTATGTAGCATGTGCTATCATATTCATATTGATAGGTTCGTGCAGCTTCAGATAGTATGCGACGTAGGTTGTGTTTCCTAAGCTCTGCGCTCCGCTTAAATATGCGCTACACAGGTCCCCATCATCCATGGAGTACAATTGTAAGTTTGATGTGAAGTTTCACATACAATGTAATGTCCTTTGTTTCGTAGACTGTATATTCATCGAATATGGATAGGTATTTATTTTCTTATCTATGGAATGGACAAATAACGTATGGACCTAGTCAGCAAGGGCCGATCAAGAGTTCTCCCTATCACAGCGGTGAGTTTTCCAAAAACATGCACATTTTGGCCTTGAAATTTTATTAGGTTACACCATTAGGGCATATTCGTGGTTCTAGATTCGAGTGAGTTTATCACCCCGAAACATTATTCGATCGTGAAACACTCCCCTTCAGGTGTTTCCATCCGTGAGAGTTTAAAACTATTCTCGTTGGCTCATTGTTGTTATTAATGCCAACCGACAGCCCTTCTTTGGGCACTGTGAGTGGAACAGTGTGCTCCCTCACTTCATGAAGTGCTAATTGCCAGTAGATTCCAGTGCCATTCGTTCTCTGACTTGGTTGGAGTCGAGTGGTCGACATATATGGCCTTAGCCGCCATTAGTTGCGGTGATGTCCTTAATGCATCATCGTTATGTTATCTCCTCGCTACCTCCCGTACAGGGTTCTCTAGGTAAGAACCAGTCTGATTTCTGCCGGGATCTGATATATTAACGCAGTATCTTAGTACCGATTCCTCTATAATAAAACTCATGGGTTTCATCATTGATACCGGCTGTTTGACGAGGTGTTTCATCTTTCAGACTACCCTGTACTTCACTCATATTTCGTGCAGCGTATGTTCGATAGTAGCCATCATAACAGTGAAGTTCCCATTATTGTGCTGTCTTTCTCGTCTCTGAGAGTTACTTACAGTGCGCAGTGATGCCCAAGAATTACGTTTTTCTCGGTATTGAATGTTTAGTGGCTAAATGTAAGTACAGCCAAAGCATTACCCAAGGATTGTACTGATCAGTGACGTCATGTTAAGTATATGTCAACTCGTTCATCGCACTCCTGAACGCGCGACACTACCTAAAGGCCGACAGAGACAGTATCGTTTCTTCCAAATACCATACCAGACACAGCGTCTACCTCCCAAAGCTGCACTTTCGCTCGTCGCAAGACGAGGGACTCCAACGAGAATGTTTTGATCCCGACAATGGGGTGGGGCATCCCATTCGGACCGTTCAATCTATCACGGTCGGTAGTCGCCTTAGTGTTGATGAAACAGAAGATACAGCGTATACTTGCGATGACAGTGAAAAACCATCCTATCTCAAATTGGTATGATGAATTTGTATGGACGGATTGTATGCCTGTTCTTCCTGTATTATTGCCGTTTCGAAAAGTTGACGACACGTTGAGCGAATCAATCTGGTGAACAGCTATCAAGCATGGTGTGGTGCAGCGTCGCAGGTTAGGGCAAAATTGTGGTCTGGGAGTCATGTGTTCTGATTTCACTGCGGCCTCCTATGCTTCGCGGGCGAGTGGCGATGGAACAATCTACTTCAATTCGATTGGACAATGGGTCACGGCGTTCATTGCCATGACACTTTCAGTTTTTGTTAAGTTCAAGTAAGCATCCTTCTCCGTCAAAGTCTCATAACAACATGAATTTGTCCAGGATTACTGGCATATCGTTCCTGGACGATCGAACACAATGATATATGTTTCTGCAACTCGTGTGGCGGGAGACGCTTTGATGCACATAATGCGCGTGCAAGTTGTGGATGCTGTACTCTGCCGCGCTCTTATCCGTACTAATCTGTTTGCATCCGCTTGAACAATGGGCAGTATGTTACCATATCAACGCAAATCCACAAGCGTGCAACAAAGCATGCACAATTGTCCTCACGATGGCTCAGGTACTCACCTCTGGCCTTTGTCGATGTGGACAATAGACCGTACTAGACTGTCACGGTGGACTGTGGACAAGTTGAACTGTGACCCCCTTGAACAGTATTTAAGTCTGTCTGTCGACCAAGTTTTTTCTTCTAACCACTCTCCCTTCTTTCGAGGTTCTCAAGTCCCTCTCGAAACTTCGCAACTCCTGTATTCTTGACTTCAAGTTCTACTGTTACCAAAGATTATTCTGCGTTGTTTTTCTTCAGAGAAATCTACACAGAAAAATCCTTGGTAAAAGAAGTCAGTCGCCTCCGGGTCGTGACTCTGCTGAGCCATAGTTTCGGCCAGTGGCCGAAACTGTTCAAGGATGTCAACCGCGTTAAAGACCACTGAGACCAAGTGGTCTTTAACGCGGTTGACATCCTTGTCAATTAATTAAATTCATGAGCTTGCGTGACCGACCTTCGATGTATAAGCTCAAGCACATCCTTACGATGAACAGGGACATTCTGGAAAAGTTCGAGATCCAAGGAGGCATTCAGCAGTTTGGGATGCTGCCCATAGACACATTGCCAACGACCCTCCCGAGGCTCGCACATCCTATGATCGGTTATCTATCCCAGTATGAACCTTGCTTTTTTATGATTGAGTTCCTCGTACCTGCGCTGAAGCACCTCAAGTTATCCGACAAAAATCCTTGTCCATTCTCATTGAGCGCTGGCCCCAGTCCTTCCCACGCCCATTCAACTTGGACGATCCGATCCTCCATACTTGCATTGGCCTTCAACCATTTAACTACTTCTCTTCTACGTTCCTTCTCGAAAATTTGGTTGATGGATGGACCCCACTGCTCGAAAAACTCAAAACACTCGAGCTTGAACATTTCCAAGTACTACCTATGTTTAGCGACTGTTTCCTGCAACGCAACCGTGCTTTATCATATTTTGAGGCTCGCGTTTTCCTGGCTCGCCGCATGTTGCAGTCATGCTTGCAGCTTCGATGACTCATTCTCACTGATTCGAGCCTGTATTTCCTGCATGCACTCAATCGCTATCCCGAGAGTACCAATGCCGACGATACTAATGAGAGGATCCCGGCCCCTGCGCTTACTCACCAGTATATTTCCACTTGGATTCCTGATGATCTGAGGTCATTTTTGAAGCGAAGGGCAGAAATCCTTGATATTGGGACGAAGGGTCCGCATATTTGGGACCGACTCGAACTGACGACGAATATAGAAGATTTGGGGGACCTAGTGAAGGATATAGGATTGGACCGCAATGACCTGAGCCGTATTGCGAAGAGTACTGTGGTGTCGGGATGGGAGGAAGGCTTTGATATCGATATCTGAATGTTTATGTTGTGTTTTGTGCGGTCACCTAAAGAGGAATGTGTTGTAATCGCTGCTTATGTCAGTCACCTAATACGGAACAATAGTTGAAGCATGAGTCGTGGAAGCCATTCTTTTTGTTCTTGTTTCGTTATATCCCATGCCTCATGCTGGCGGCGCGTAGTGCATTGTTCGAGTGGAGGTAACGAGATTCCTCATTTCCATTGTTTTTTTTTGGCTTATATCAACGACCATCCCGGGCCCGTTTTCGCTTCCTTCGTGCCCAACTTCCTTCAAGATCAACCTGAACAAGTACTGTGTACTTTGTCATTCTTGTACTCTTTTCGTTCGACTTCCTGAATTTCATTGCTTCCTTGGTTACCGCGTGCGCCCAAGTCGCTCACTTAAGACCTATCCTCTCTTTAATCTCCTGCTGCGCAATGTCCTCTACCGCGATCTCGATGATCACATATCCATGTCCCCCACCTACTACAAACACGCTGGACTCCCAGCAGCGCTTGCGTCTCATACGTTCGGCGCGCAAATTAGAGGCAGTCATGGGCACCACACCCTACCTTCTCGAGGCAGACGTCCCCATCACACAACTCCCCATTGGGGGTAACAAAAAATCAGTCACGGGCAAAGCACTAAAGCGCCAGGGTTCCATATTCACGCATTACTCCCCCTCTGTGACATCACTTAGCTCAGTGTCGACGGCATCTTTCCACTCCCCGTCCGCCTCACTAGTCTCGCTACCTTCGAGCATGCGAAGCACAGAGTCCCTATCAGTAACACCGCCTGGCCTGCCCGCGCGCGGCAGAAGGTCAGCAGATAAACCCAGACCATTGTACCTTCGCATGAATGCAGTTCCTGTCACGCCCACCCACGAACGCTGTACCTCGCTGCCGCCCACACCTTCCTCAGCTCGCGCAACCTCCGCTTACTTCCCCCCTACGCCTCGCACGCCAAGTTTTGACGCGGCAGACATGCGGAGAAAGCGGATGGCAAAACTTGCACGGCATCTAGGAGAGAACGTGCCTCCTGAACTAGTTACAGCACAAGGGCCGCGTTCTCAATCATGTTCTCAAGAAAACGTGCCCAACAGGGAGCGACGCAGTATGTCCATCAACCTTGCGAGCCCACACAATACACCTATCGCTCCGGGGCCTGAAGTTATCTCGCAGGCAAACAGCGATTGGGTTGGCGAGTGGAATCGATCTGATATCAGAGACGTTCAGAGGGAACTTAGAAGCCTCAAGGCTGCGCGGTGGTAATTGCTTCAGTCTCCATCACACTTATGACACGATTTTATGCTACCCTTGTATTCGGATACCTCACTGGCTGCGGGTATCCAGCCGAACGATATGCAATTCACGATAACTAGTCACATTTACATATGTATCATGTTAGGCGTCAGATTAATTACACATATACACGCGCAAGTACTACTACTGTCATCATTTGTAAAACATAATACATACCATGCTCATCGGTCGGCACAAATATTTGATTATTCGACATCCAATTGCTCCTATTAACAAACTTTGCGCTCTTACATAAGTACCTGACCGCCGAGTTGACCTTGAAACCGACATTTGCGTGACTGCCGACTTTTGTGGGTGTCACGGTGATAAAAAAACGTTATTTTAGTAACAGCACTTTATTTTTAGAATGATCACCCGCTGTCGCTCAACCTCCATGATTAGTCTCCCCTAGGCAGATCGATATAGACGTTGAAGTCGTTCCTTCTAATATCATGATTGGTGGGCCCAACATTCGATGGCCCTGTCTAAGCCCGTCGAGCAGTCCAATGGGTCAGCGAGAACGACATGGGGCCACAATCCAAGGGAGTCGGAATATCTCGGTACTTGCGTCCAAGGCTACAACCGTGACTTACCATGTGATCACATAAGGTTCTCTTGAGGGCTACTATTAGTACTAGCGCAACTGCCTTGTACGTGGAAGGAAGATACCTGACTCACACAGCCTAATTGATCTGTGCAGGTATTAACAGATAAAGTTGTTTGTAAGTCAGTGTTGTCATTAACTGTAATCTCAGCCTAATTGCAGCTAGTTCGGCAAGTGACCGCCTTGTTCTGGAGTACTTGACCTGTCGCAAAGGCGCCGGGTGTGGTGTTACTATCAGCAAGCCCGACCGACTCAATGGCTCTTATCATTGCATGCACTCTTATCGTCTTAGCCAGCGCATGGATTGTGAAACGGCGGTATCAGGCCGTGAGGCAATTGCCTTTACCGCCTGGACCTCCTGGACGTTGGCTTTTAGGAAATACGCTGCCAAAGTCATAGTACGTCCCTGTCAAGAGACATCGATATAATCTCCAACTCCTCCCGCAGTGCGCCGTTTCAATTCGCAAAATGGACAGAAAAATACGGACCTGTGTTTACACTCAAACAGGGCCCTAGAATTTTCGTGATTATAGGTCGTCACCAGGTAAGTATCCAGTAATTCATCATCTGGACAGACGCAAAGCGTGTCTCGTCATAGGCTGCGGTGGATATCATGGAAAAAGAGGGAGCATCTCTCGCCGACCGCCCACGTTCTATTGCAGCGCATGAGACCTTATCTGACGGATTGAGAATTCTCCTCGAGGGCAGTGGTGAGAGATTGCGCCGGCTGCGCAGGTACACATTTCGAGTCTCTGGCATGCGATTGAGATTAAACATCAAACAGGGTCTTGCATGCAGGCTTGCAACCCAAAGTTGCGGAGACCTATGAGCCCATTCAGATCAGGAATGCGAAGAATGTGGTCCTGGACATTTTAAATGACCCAAAGAACCACCAAAAGCATGCCATGCGGTATGAAAACAAGGTCACGCTTATACAATACGGGGATTGATTCGTGCATTTTAGCTATGCAGCTTCCGTGGTCATGACCTTCACCTATGGTAAAACCACCCCGACTTCGTACATGGATCCTGAAGTCATTTCCGTCAATAAATCTCTTGCGCGATTTGGTCGAGCTGTGAAGCCGGGAACATACCTTGTGGACACGTATCCAATCCTGCGTTTCGTCCCAGGTTACCTGAGCCAGCTGAAGGCATGGCACCAAGAAGAACTTGCCCTATTTAACGGACAGTTGGACGTGGTGCGAAGACAGATGGTGCGTGATTTTATTTTTCTGACATACGTCCTCGCTCAAGCACTTGTGAAGGATGAGGGAACTGCCAGGCCATCCTTTGCAAAGTTCATTTTGGAACACCAGAAACAGTATCAGCTTGAAGACAAGGAACTGGCATACGTTGCAGGAGGAATGTTTGGGGCCGGTTCTGATACAGTAAGCTCTTACATTGTATCGTGTCCTATCTTGACAGCTGCTATAGACTGCGTCTGCAATCACGATTATGATGATGGCTGCTACCATCCATACGGATGCACAGGCTCGCGTACAAGAGGAACTTGATAACGTCGTGGGGTGTTCTCGACGTGGGTTACACCTCTTCATTGTCCAACGAGCCTATTGACTGGGGCATTTCGTAATTAGTGCCGACATTTAGTGATCAGGAAATGCTGCCGCAGGTTACCGCGTTCATGCTCGAGAGCCTCAGGTGGAGACCTGTCAGCCTTGGAGGTATGTCTCCTTTGAGCTGTGATGGCACGATAATGATTGGTGACGTTCCACTACAGGCTTCGCGCATCGTGCGACCAAGGACATAATTTGGAAGAACTACATCATTCCTGAGGGCGCGACTGTTGTTGGCAACCATTGGTCAGTATGCAATTGTTTTTGCCCTTTCACCATTTCTCTAATGCTTGTCTTTCAGGGCTATTGCAAACGATCCTGAGGTTTTCCCAGAACCGCACGAGTTCAACCCTCAACGGTGGATTGATGATACTGGCCATGTGCGCGATGATCTCCGATTCTTCGCTTATGGTTTTGGCCGCCGGTGAGTGGCATCGTTCATCGCTCATCTCTCGACCCGTTCTCACGACTCGCCTGAAAACATCAGTGTGTGTCCCGGCCAACATGTTGCAAATCGGTCTCTCTTCATCAACACGGCTCTTATTCTCTGGGCTTTCCGACTTTCTGAGAATCCTGCAGCGAAGATCGACACGCTCGCTTTCTCGGATACTGCGAATATACATGCTGCTCCGTTTGAGATATGTTTGGAGAAGAGGATGGATGAGAGCGTGATCAGGGAACTGTGCACATCTGGGGCATTTGTGTAGGAACTTGAAAGTTCAGTGATGATTAGTTTGTGCGCTTGTAGACCGTGTTCCTATGTGCTCATTTATTGGTGTTGTCGTTCCTTGAATTTAATTATTCAAGTACCTTTGTACAGTCGATTAATCAGCCGCACAGCCACAAAATCATTCATCAAGCCGCCGCCGGCTTCGAGCTTGCACTCTACCACTTACACGCAGTACCTCCGTGTCGGTCTACATAGTACCATCCGTGTTCGACATGGGTAAACTTAATATCGCTCACCATAAATCATACCACCCCTACCGCCGGGACAACATCGAGCGCGTGCGGAAAGATGAAGAGGAAGCTGCGCAAAAGGAAGCCGAGGCTGAGGGAAGGATAGTGTTGGCTGATGCAGAGGCTCGATTGGACCTCCTCCGAGAGCGCGCAGGGCTTGGGAAAGGGAAAGGAAAGGGGAAGAGGAAAGAGGATGATATGAAAGCCATAGATGATGCGAAGGCCTCCATCATTGCTAACAACTCGATCCAAGGCCATATCAATCTATTTGAGGATATAGAGCAGGTTGGTTGGTTCTCATCGTTTTGTGCGTATACACTTATATGGCGCTAGCAAGAAACGATTACTGCTGTACGGGCGACGAAGAAAACCACACAGCTGGAGACTGAGAAAGGTGTACCACTGGCTCCAAGTGCCAAGGACCTCAACCCGTGGTACAGCGAGCGCGATAAGGAAAAGGAACATCAAGAGGATGAGAAGAGCGAACGCTTAAGGTATGCAGCTCATACTGCTCCAGCATTAAATTTACGACCTCCCTTTGGCATTCCAGATTGCGCGATCTTGCTTCAAAGACGAGGAATGACCCTCTCACAGCCATCACGCATCAGCTCGCATCACGCTCTTCATCAAGCTATTCTTCCCCTGCCCCTCAGACGTCATGGCGGCGCCCCAAACACCGCACCCCACCTGATTCAAGTGATAAGATGAAACCTCCTCCCCCACCCTCGGATGCTACGTCCATGCGCCTTGCGCGTGAATCATCAGAACGCGAGCGCGCGCTGGCGTTGATTCAGCGCAAGCAACGTGAAATGAGAGGCAGCGAAACACCGAGTACTGTGCACGGGGGCCTTGATGAAGGGTATGGGGACGTATTTAACCGGCGGGAGGTTGAAGAAGCGCATTCATATCGACGACGGCGGTGGTAAGTGCATTCCCTGCACATGATACCTATTTATTGTATTGCGTACTCCACGCTACGAGGGGATGCTGTATTAATGGTTTAGGCATTTGACTTATCCCTTGGACACGGACGTGCTGACTGGTGTATGCTGGTGTTATTATGATGGCGTCCTGCCCTGTCATTCGATAGCGAGCGTGGGTTTCATGTATGTTAAGCTTTTTTATTGACTATAATCCTTCTTTGACCAGTGTTGGCACCCGGGTTATAACTGACTAGGTTATAGGACCATGACTGGCCTCGAACCATCTGAAACTTTTTGGCCACTGGCAATGTTGTCTTACGAGCAAAGGAAAAGCCGCCATGAGTGTTTTTGGATGGTTCGAAGGTCAGACGAGGCCGAGTTTCACATTCGGGGCACTGTGCTAAAGGCCTCTGGTTCCGTTCGTCCGCTCGCTACCTTTTAATTTTTGCCTCTCAAAAAAGATTATATTCTAAGGCCCTGGCTGGGCAGGTGCTCCAGATTCAATTATCTCAATTGAATTCACATAATTGGATGAGGGTCGAGCTGTGCCGGCAGGCCTAACCTTGTTCACCAGTCTAAAAACTAATCTCGAAAATCTTGATGTTATGTTATGTCTGGAGTGAGCATCGACCCTTTGTTTTAGTAAGTACATGTACGCAATACGTCAACAACACATATATACGACACTGACAAACTGCTAGGTTATAGTGGACCCCCAATTGTTTGTACAGCGTTATCATGAACTCTGTGGGACTTCTCTTTCGTCTTTATTAGAGTAAAAATGTTGCAAGTCATAACCTGCATACCAGTCAAGGGCAATCAGCACCAGTCTGCTCGTGGAAAGAGGAAGATTACGATGTTTTTGGCAGACAAATAGGCTCGTGACTGGCCTGGCGTATACTCAAAATCTCACCATCTCAAATTGACGCAGTCAGACTGGTTACGAGTCGGTTGGTCGTGCTTTTCTCACGAAGCATACTCTCTATTACAAACAGCGACCAGGCATTCGGAGGTGCCCATATCATTGTTGTTGGAAATTTCCATCGATTTTCCCCTATAGCAACTCGCAAATCTGCCCCATTATTCTGGCCATGTGACACCATGCCGACGAGCAGCTTATTCGATTGAAGGAACAGGGATGAGTCACATTGCTGATCCGCCGGTTGGCCCTGACCATTACTGACGATACAAATGAAATTTCCCTGGATTCCAGCTAGATCGATTGTGGCGTCGAAGGACAGGATTTTCATCGATTTCCCGTGAGTGCCTGCAATAAACTGTACTTGTATGAAGTATCCTGAGTTCCCGTTTTCACCTATGTACCTGCAGCTGCATTCTTACAAGTCCGTCCGAGGCACCAAACGTTGGTAGTCTTCCACAATGTTCAGTGTTATACACAAGGGATCGTCCTTGATCGTTCTACGTAGTATGGTAAGCAACAGCGAAGTCCCGATTCTTAAGTTAGTCTACAAGCAACTGACCCAATAACTTCCAGTTTAAAATCAGCAACGTCACGACGACAAAATGAGAAGTTCCACGAATTTTCCTCTCATCCTCGTACCCAAGCCGGATTTAGAAGGTAGTTGTCAACGCATGTCAAATGGTTGTAGATTCTGTCTCTGTCTCAAAAATTAGCCAAGGTCAAGATCATAAATGCCAGACTTTTAGTGAACTCCCGGAAGGCACACAATATGAAAGAACTTGGAGCATGTACCGTTGGTGTACAGTGAACGGTCGCGCACCATACTGATAGTGAAGTACTGCCACACCACCAGTCCGGTTTTCAGTTTTCAGTTTTCGGTTCTTACAGTAATTTGCGCTGAATTTGTTCAACGCCTCGCGCAACTAGGGATAGCTAAGGGTAATGGCACGAGTCGGTTGCATCATGGGCAATTGATGCCACTTTTGATTGAACTGACGAATCCTCACGAGAGTACAATTCTAGCGGTCTGCCGATAGGCCTGCACAATCCTTGTCCGATGTACGTATTTTGCAGCACCCGCATTATGCTTAGATCAAACATTTCATGCAAGTGATACCAGTATTATATCGAAACTTTTGCGATGTCCGAGTCGCTGGCAGAATATTGAGTGGGGCCTGAGTAACTGTCAGACATATCATCCAAATCCTAGGATTGTAGAAAGAATACCTACCCATGATTTTACTAGTAGTAAGGCAGGAACATGGCCCATCTGTAATGAAGAGGTGAACACTGAAGATTCGGGTCCTAGAGTTGGCGGAACAACAGAGCTGCAGTCAGGTCGTGAAGGTTGAATGGTCGAGACCGCAGGCCAATAATATTGGTTGACTTCCAGTAAGAATTTACGGGAAAAGCTCGTCTGTAAAACTAAGACAGCTTGACCTCGGATATTTTGCAGACAGAATTTGTAAACCGCAAGACAGCTTCACCTCGGCTGTTTTGCAGACAAAATCTGTAAACCGTGAGACTCGAGAACGGTCGAGCGGAAGAACGCATGACAACGGGAACAACGCCGCAATGATCCGGACTACAGAGAAATCTGTGCAGGGGTAACCTACCCCTGCACAGATGTCAGTCAGGTGCTAGTCTCGTTCCCAACGTTCTAGGGCACATGAGAATGTAGCACTGACCGCTACCTACCACATCTAGCTCGGCTATTCGGCTAAGTCGTGACTGTAAACCCTTACGGGAAGGTTGTCTTGAAATAAATTGACGGTGAGAGTGCACGTCCCAGGAATGCATGTTGCTTACGTAACTGCAGTAATTGGCTGAAGGGTGACAGTGTACGACCAGACCCCTAAAATTGGCTATCCAGTTTGCTTCGTCATCGAACCCCATTGGACAACCATAATGTATTGTCTACTGGGCTTGAATAAACACAGATACAAAAAAATTGAGAACACGGGTGCTCACCAAGCTGAAGGCCGAACGAGCTTGAAGATGTGACCGACAGCGGTGAAAGTGAATATTTTTACGGCGCCATCGAGATTCGGATGAAAATGTGTGTTATTGGTGACAGAAAAAGCCACAGCCATTATCGTCACCCGACGGAGATAAGCTTAAGCGAGACTTTGAAGAGGAAAGACAAAATCAGGTACTCATTACCAAGATTGAATTCAGTCTCGCGAGCCAACCCTCCTCAGGCTCGAGCCTCCTCCGACGCGGATCTAGACGCTCTCCTCGAAGTATCATGAGAGGATATTCTGATTAATTATTATTCAAAGGTTTTTAGCTGGCACAAACACATACAAATAAGTTTCGTCCAGCTGGTTTTTGTGCAACGCACTGTGGTCGTTCGGATTCAGCGCTGCACTCGTTCCTCCTGTAGCTGCAATCGAAAATATCTAGCTTCCGGGCTCGGGCAGACCAAATTATAGAAGGAAGGTTTATTTCATTTTAAAATCCTTCATCACACGTGCACTGCCTGTGATGTATCATAATGATCATTATACAGCGCGCGGTTGGATATTGCCGGAATCGAGCCCCGTGCACCGCGGACGGCGGCTGACTACCAAGCGCATACTGACTAGCTAGATGGAGCTCAGGTGAAAGCTCAAGTGAAGTTTGCGCATTGGAGTCATGCGAATTGCTTCACGGAATGGACAGTTCCATCCTCACATATGATAGATAGGCCACTTAAGGTGATGTTCTTGGCATGATTACGCCCTATGCTTTCTCACACGCTTGTTCATATCATATCATAGGTCACTATTGAAGGAGAACGTGCGGCGCAGTTCGCCGCAGCTTCAACATCCAATGCCGTTGATGTTGGTTGACAGTGGAAGGACATAGAGCGCATCAAAATTTAGAGCGTGTCGTCACGACGCGCATCAGCTTAGAGAGCTAGTCTGCATGTAGATGTCGTGACTGGAGTACTGGAGAGCCCGTTCCCTCCAGTGCTAGGCTGCTCGTTGCGGATATCCATGGCAGTGTGGACATTCTAAACAAGAATTTTGCATCGACTAAGAGCTGGGTCGCATATGTCGGAGGACGAGTCAGACACACGGCAGAGAGGAAGGGTGTGTTGGTGACCGAAGAACGCAGTGCGTGTTGAAGCATGATAAGCCTCATCCAGTGAGTTTCACTATGTTCAAGTTTCGCTTAGTGAGCTTGAAAATTCAGGTCTCTTGCTTTCCACTCTCATTGTCTTTTTCTTTCCGTCAGGCTCTGATGGGCCGGACGGCGCTACTTTACAGGCACTTGGGGGTCACCATCTCCCACAGTCACTGTCAGTTTTCCTGACTGCGCTTCCTATAAGACACGCATGCATCCCATCGCCTCCTTAAAGATATATTAGATCGTTCGGCCGGTGTCAAAGCGGCTTGATAAATTACGCCTTTGCTTGAACCCTGAAGCATCTGATTGGAAAAGATTGAGTTAAAGCAGAAGGTGTCGTGATTTGATCCTTTGCTCTCAGATAGCGAAACCTTTACTGATAACATTGCATCTATAGGGGTGGTGCCATTGAGGTTGGATCAAAGACACCAAAGCCGTAGGTATATTGCGTTCAGCTCAATTGCGTGAGTTACAAATTTGTACTGCCAGGGTGAAAGTTGATGACGGAGAACACGAAGAGTTTAGAGTCGAGATGACCAATAATAATAATGTGGTGCGATACGGCACAACGTGTAACTAAGATATCAAAGGTGTTTCGGCCAATAGGTCAGTGGCCGTATGGCCCGCGGCTTATAGAGACGATGTCACCATCAATGTGATGTGATTGATATGAAGGATTGTGATTATGTGGCGGGCGTCTAGCTGACAAAGTTCACGGCACCTACTACTCTACCTCGTCAAAATGACATCTCCACCAATCGGATGCTTCAGGCCCAAAAGCTTATTGGATATCTCAAGCGGGTATGCGCCCATATAATTTAAGCGATGCTACCACTTGACAACACTAGTATGTCAGTAGTGACAGCCATAGGTTTTCGGCAGTTGGCGCAGTGTACGGAAACTCATCCACTGGCAGTATAAGTATACTGTTTCTGCCTGATCATGATCCTAATTATTCACAACCATGAGTATCTCGCAAAGTAGGGACATTTGGCTTGCCTTTAAGGACCTCTGCCTCGCAGTGCCCCTATCAGGCACAACGGCCGGTGTCTCAGTTCTGATACTGGCGTCGCTCTATCTCCTGCAAGGGTATCGCCAAAGACGACGAACGACACGCCTACGAGGACCTCCGAGCCCAAGTCGGATGTGGGGCTTCTCCAAGGTAGTGCTAGATCCTGCCGTCGCCACTGAACTGTATGAACAGTGGGCCGATGAGTACGGCCCAGTGTTCAAAGTCCCCCTCGTCTTGGGAGAGTCCAAGGTCGTACTATGGGACCCCAAAGCCATCTCTCATTTCTTTGCAAAAGACACTTGGTCGTATAACCAAACTCCATTCAACAAGATCGCTGGTGCAATGACCGTATGTCCCTTCGCCTCATTGTACAGCTATATGTTAATGACGTGCTTCTACGGCTGACAGGTTGGACGAGGAGTTCTGTGGGCCGACGGTGAGGGTCACAAAAGGTCGGGACCATGACCTTCAAGTCGTGCCGAGCTAAATCTATTCCATTCTCTGTCATTCATCAGGCAGCGCAGGGCTCTCAACCCTGCCTTTAGCGCAGCTGCCATCCGCAACTTGACGTCTGTTTTCCAAGATTCCGCTCACAAGGTCAGTCACTAATTATTCGCCCGTCACTGTACTCAAAATAGGTCACAGGCAGTGATCGCTTGGGAAGCTGAGATAGCATCGAACCAAGGAGCTCAAAACGCTGTAATTAATGTTCAACAATGGTATTTATTTCCTTCCCCAAAGTTTCCTACTCGAGCACTCAGACATATATTATACAGGATGAATCACATCTCGTATGTATATCCCTTCCTCTCCACAAGGCTGCTGTCTCATCCAACACCCACCGCGTAGACTCGATAGTGTGGGCATAGCTGTTCTGTCCCATGACTTCGGCGCACTCAACGGAACTCACTCCGAGGCCGCGGAGGTCCTGAACGCGTTTGGTTTGTCTGGAAACGCTGCCCACAGCTTGGTTATTTTGGCACAAAATTTTCCTTCCATCCTGAAGCTACCATTGCCTCGCACACAGTTCGCACAGAAGCTGAATTTGATCATCGGCAAAATATGCGAGGAGATATTAGGGCGGTCGCGCAAGGAGAAAGAAACTGCCGGCGCTGTGCAGGGGGACAAATCATGTTTGGGTCTGCTCCGTGAGTTTGCCCTTTGCTTCCCAAATTGAAACGCTACAATTGTTCTGCAGTGAAAGCGGAGGGCGCGGGATTGTCACATCAAGAAGTATCAGCTGAGGTAAAGGAATCATAGAGCTACCCTGAACGATGTGACACTGATCTCTGTCTCTGTCAGGCAAAGACTCTACTTGTCGCCGGCTTTGAGACCACTTCAAGTACGTACATTCGTCTAGCAAAAGAACCTGATATTGACCATGCCTTGCGCATTTATCAGTCAGCATGACAGTAAGTTTCGAACCGTCCCGAACCGTCCACTACTCCAACTGAGTTTCTCAACTTCGCAGTGGTCATTGGTAGAACTTGCGCGCAATCCAGACATGCAGACGAAGCTTCGCAACGAGTGTCTAGAGTTCGGGGCAACCCCAACATATGATGATCTCACGAATAAGCTTCCCTACCTGGACGCTATAGTCAATGAAGTTCTCCGCCTGCACGCACCAGCCAAGGAACTCCCACGATCAGTGCGTATCTGACAGACATTCCACACAACTCACTCGAACTGACTATCATTGACAGGCTATACAAGAAGACGTGATCCCGCTCAGCAAGCCCTTGTGCACGGCTGACGGCAAGTATACCGACAGTGTAACAATTCCAAAAGGGACAGTGGTCGTGATCCCGCTCGTCGCACTCAATTGCTCAGTTGGCATGTGGGGGCCTGACGCAAAAGAGTTCAAACCTTCCCGATGGCTCGAAGAGGACACGGCAACGCAGGGGGCTAGAGAAGGCTTCCGTCGTCTAATGTCATTCGGCGGTGGCGCACGGATGTGTGTAGGGAAGGTATTTGCGTTGACAGAATTCAAGGTACGCCGCTGGGCAAGAGTTATTGTCTGATTCATTCTGACCGGGTGTCTAGGCCGTGCTGTTCATCCTCATACGAAACTTCGTGTTTGAGCTGGAAAACCCTGGGATGAAGATGGTGGAGAGTTTTGGGCCTATAGCAAGACCGGGGGTGGCTGGGAGTGCTGATCCTGAACGTGTGCCCCTCCGGGTGCGCCGTTATGAGGCTTGATTGTTGTCTGCAGCTTTGTAATACCACTGTACTATGAAAACTGCCTGTAACGTATCATAAATTATCAATCTTAAGATATATTTATGTGCATAAGGTCCCTTGTCGACCAGTTTCGCGAAAGAATAGATCTGAGCGGGATGTGTGTGTATCGTGTTGTACCTGTTTCCACTGCACAAAAATAGATATTTTGGTTGCGAGCTGGCGATAGCATGAGTGATGACATGTGCTATCTCGAGTGTTTTGGCGTTGGTTGAATAGATTGTGGAAGAGGTTGTATTGTTCTTGGTGGAGGTATACTCGTCGTGAGTACTTTCTTGGACAGGCCCAACATAGACGAAGGCTATAGGGACGTGTTTAACCAGCGAGAGGTCGAAGGAGTGAATTCATATCGACGACGGCCATGGTAAGTGCAGTCCCTGTCCATAAGACCTGTTTATTGCGTTGTATGCTCTACACCTCCGCTACTAGCGACGGTGGAGCATGGATGATATCGACTCGGAGACTCGAGTACCAATTGATTGAAGGTTCGGCTGTTGCCGCTGAGTCAGCGGCGCTGCAAATCGTCATAAATACTTACCACCGTGCGACTTAGGTTTGATCATGTGGCACCAACATGACTTTTGGCAACAGTTGTAAGACCTCGGCGTAATCCCCTAACATGGCGCTCCTGCCATTCATGCATACATACCAATCGTCACAATTTCTACCTAAAGCTCACCTTCTTTGTGTCTGATATCATTGCATCCTTCTATCCCGCTCAGCTGATAGGTGAGTTGCAAGCAGTTAGTTTGTCATGCTCTTCTGTTGATTCATCGTCCTCTATAAAAAGTGACTGCGTTGATATTGCATAGTATTGCTATACTCTGTACTGTCTTCAGGCTCGTTTACAGACACTGGCGCGTCAATTTGTATGGTGGGAAGATGTTTGGGCGGCATTTCTCACCTATATCAGACAGTTGAATTCCTAGCACACTGAGTTTCTCAGTAACTAACCTTATGTGTCCCCCTCCAAGAGCACACTGGCTCCGTTTGGTCCGTCGCAATTTCGCCCGATGGCAAGTGGATCGTGTCTGGTTCAAAGGACAGGACCATCCAAGCGTGGGACATGTCACACTCACTCCGTCGCAATCTCGCTGGATGGACATCGCATCGTGTCTGGCTCAGGCAACAAGACCATCCGGATGTTGCACATTGAGATTGGTGAGGCATTGGGTAAGCCTCTCAAGGACACCCTGACTGGCGTCGCAATTTTACCAGACGGAGATCACATAGTGTCCCGTTCAGATGACAAGACAATTCAGGTGTTAGACATGGGGACTGGTAAGGCCCTAAGCGCCTGTCTCGTCTTTATCTGTCGCAATCTCGTCGTATGGACGTTGCGTCGTGTCTGGCTCAGGCGACGAGACTATCCAGGTGTGGGATATGGGAACCGGCGAGCTATTTTGCGCTACTCTCCAAGGTCACACTGACTTCAAACATCATGTCTGGTTCGTGTGATCAGATCATCCGGATGTGAGACATGCGGACTGGCGAGGCAGCGGGTGGCCCTTTCCGAGGGCACACTGGTTATGTTATGTCTCTCGCGATCTCGCCTGATGGCAAACACATCATGTCTGGGCCATACGACAAGACCATTCGGGTGTGGGATCTGGATTTTGTCCACCAGGACCAACTCTCCGAAATAAGTTTCTCATCCGACTCAACTCACGCCCTTCACAAGATTCTGACACACCAGCCCCTTCCGGCCCAACTAAGGAGGGATGGGTTGTAGGTCCCGAATCCCGATGGACAGCTTCTCCTCTGGATCTCGCCCATTTTTCCATCCGGTGATGTATGCCCCAGGCAATACGCTGGTGATAGCCAACATTCCCTTGCAGCTGGACCTGAGTTGTGTTGCACATGGCACATCATGGCACGAATGTCGGACGCAGGAGGCAGTGTCATATTCGTGATAACGATCTGTCAGTCACGCCATGGTTTGTACTTTGTTGATTGACTGAAGATGGTCATTCTGCACAGATTTCGCACAACACATTCATCTTGTTGCGGTGCTTCCGAGCCATTATGACTTCATTCGTGGTGTTCCGAGTCTGCTTCTTTCACTACTCCATGACCATATACCGCAGAACCTTTGAAAAATCTGAATTGACTACGTTTTCAAACTCTTCTCTCATCGTCACTCAACTCTCTCGACAGCAGTCATGTTTCCTAAATCTCATCCCGACCATAACTGCCCTCCTTCGAAACGGTGGCTCATCACAGTCATCTTATTTCACTGCCGGAACCCGTTCTCAACAGCATGGACACCATCCGACCGCACAAATGACGCGAGACGAAGACTAATCCTTAGGGAAAGCACTTGCTCATCCGCAATCACCCCATATTAAATCACAGTGGCGGGCCACAATGTAAGGAAAGTGATTCTCGATCCTCGTAGGTCGGCAACCTGAGGGTGAATTACTGAAAATGACAGATGTACTGTAACAGAAGCCAAAGCCACATTCGCAGGCACACAATAAACGGTACGGTCACATGGTCACACGTACGGTCACATGTATGGAAGTGTGTTGAGTGCGGCCTTGGCAATATCTAAGTATGTACTATCTAGGACGTCTAATGTACAGGAAGCAGTAAGATCCTGTACACGCACTACCACAGCTTAGACAACCCACAGTCCCTTCAACGAAGTCCACCTCGACAATACTAACTCTGAAGCTCACGATGACAAATCGAAGCATAATTCCTTTTGAAGATCATGACGACGCCATTTCAGCAGTCGCAGTCTTTCCTGATAGACGACGTATGGTGACGGGCTCGTACGACAAGACGCTCAATCTATGGGACTTGAAGAGTGGCATTGTCTTGAAGAAAATGGAGGGGCATTGCAACCGGGTGCATGCAGTGGCGGTAGGAGGATGTGGACAGCTTATAGCAAGCGGTGATAAGAGCGGTCAACTCATCGTATGGGACGGAGAAACTGGTGAATATCTCGCCCAACCAAAAGCTCACTGGCCGCCAGATGGGTCCATCAACTCGCTTGATTTCTCTCCAGATGGGGCTGCATTGGCTACTGGTTCCTCTGACGGTACGACGGTGCTGTGGAACACAGAAACGTGGCGGCAGCTAGGAGGTCTAATGCATTGTGATAGTGAAGTCCACTGCATTCGGTATTCACCATCGGGCAAACATCTTGCCATCGCGACAGCGGGGGATATCCAAATATGGAATCCAATTACGAAGGAACTCTTGGTTCGGAAGAACCACAGTACACTGAGTTCAGCCTTAGCATTCAATAACTCACTCGCATGGACGCCCAATGGCACACGGCTTCTGTCGGGATCCTGGGACGATCCCATCATACATCAGTGGGATTCATCGACCTGGAAGCATGCCGGTCATTGGAACGGTGATACCAATGATTTGCGTGCCATTGCAGTCAACCCTGCTGGCACCCTCGTTGCATCTGCATCTTATGATTATCATGTTCGCCTCTGGCGGCTCTCAGATCTACAAATGATCTCTATATTCAATTACTATAGCTGCGTGAAGTGCCTCACCTTCTCCAGTGATGGCAAGGAAATTCTCAGCGGAGGTGAAGATCGCAAGATCTCAAAGTGGGCAGTACCTTTGCCTTATGCCAACGTATGCGTTCATATTTGACTCTGACAATGAAATCTGACGTGGTGTGATGCAGGACTTCGTTGTAAACACGACCAACGCAGTGCTTCTCCGAGTCAACGCGCAAAAGGTGTGATTGCAATCATTGCATGTATTTTTTCCAATTCAAATGTTTATTATCATGATACATAGATAATCGACCTTAACCCTTCGTCTTATCATGGATACCGGCTGAAGCATGCGGCCCTTCATGATGCAGAATGCTACGATGAAGCCATCGCGGCCTTCGAAACAATGCTCTCTAAGTTGGACAATGCTTCCGACGTGCAAACTATAAGTGAGTGCTGAATACAAGATGCAGCAATATGTTTGACTCCGTTTCCAGAACTGCGCCAGAATTATCTCAGTCAATCCGAAGCAGATGGTGCTATTCGAATGGTCATTCATGCTCAACTCGATAACGCTCCCCTTCGTCTACTCGATACCACCTCCGGGCTCTTGTGCGATCGAGAGGCACAGATCAGGGTCTTCAAAACGACCTCAAAGTACAAGGAGCTGTTGTCATTGACTATGAAGCATCCGTATTTCCGTATGCGCGGCATTGCAGAAGTGGTGGCCTTGTCATTTCGTTGTGTCATGCTATCACATAGGTGGGAAGAGAAGGAGCCGCTGCTGCATGACATTCAGAAAAAGGCCGTGTATCAGTTAGATGCACTGGGCGGCGCTGTGAAGTTGCAGTCGTTCTGCAAAATTGCTCGTTCTGCGGGCTATCGGTGGGCATGGAGTGACACATGCTGCATTGACAAGAATAACAATGTTGAGCTTCAGCAATCACTCAACTCCATGTTTCTCTGGTATCGCTACTCAGCACTTACAATCGTCTACCTTTCGGATGTCCCACCGTCATCCGAGTCCGGCGCCCTGGCAAAGAGTGAGTGGAACATGCGAGGATGGACGGTTGGAGAATTTCTGGCTTCCAAGAGTGTTCGCTTTTATCGGAGTGATTGGACTCCATATCTTGATGATCACTGTCCCAACCACAAGGAGTCCGCCACGATCATGCAGGAGTTGGGGCACGCAACGGGCATAGATCGACGGGCCCTTGTCACATTCTCCCCAGGTGTCTCGCGCGCCAGAGAGAAACTCCAATGGGCGTCGACCCGTGTTACCACATTGCAGGAAGATATCGCATACTCATTGTTCGGCATCTTTGGTATTAACCTACCTATCATCTATGGAGAAAAGAAGCACAACGCGCTCGGGCGGCTCCTTCAGGAGATCATTGCTCAGTCGGGCGACATATCTGCGCTGGATTGGGTCGGAAAATCATCCACGTTCAATAGTTGTCTTCCCGCCGACATCACCTCGTACAAAGCTCCGCCATCCATGTCGCTAGATTTGCCACCCGAAGATGAAATGCAGAAATCAATCTCCTTCCTGCGAGATGCCGTGGGTGTCGAGTTGGCTTCGAAATTCTATACCCTGCTTGACAAGCTGAGCCCCCCTCGTTTCGCACACCACAGACTGCATTTGCCTTGCATTGCATTCCATGTTACAGCAGTAAGATGGAGGCGGGACCTTGGCCAGGAGACATCTTTCACGTATGCCGTCAAGGCAGACGGTCTTCATGACCTCCTGATCACAACGGAAGACAAGCCGAATCAGTTCTCGCGTGCAATGGACACTCAGCAGACATTGTTGCTTGTCCGTCCGTGGAGTCGTTATTTCCTTGAGCTGCCTGACTCTGCAGACGATATGCAAAGCGTGGCAAATTGGTCCGCGGTCGGGTCTTCTGTATACAAATCGCCCAGCGGGTCTCGGTCGCGATCATCGCGATTTATCCCTCGCTTCGGACAGCCATTCGGCTCATTCCTGGATGCACTTCGCGGGGTTCCTGCAGAGAACGGGCCGTATTCGGAGTCTTACTTGCAAGCATTGCGATTGATTGTGCGCCTTGGACAACATTTCAGCGCATTTTTGCTAGCTCAGCAGCCCGGAGGAGAATACAAGAGAATTGCGTCAGACCGACAGATTATTGCACAAGTCAAAGACATCAATTCTGTTCGCAGCATGATGGACGTCAGGACACTCGAGATTCTGTAATTGATTGCATTTTGAATAACATATACCTGGGGTGTTTTGTCTTGTGATTCTAACGATTTGAACCTGTTTCGTACGCTCAGCAGATTATCTATGATCTCAGACTGCATGGAATATAGCGCGACCCATCAACGAGCCTCCTCAGAAAAGGCGCCGAGTGATGTGCATGGGCCTACATAGACGAAGGCTATCACGATAGGGACGTGTCTAACCAGCGAGAGGTCGAAGAAGTGAATTCATATCGACGATGGCCGTAGTGAGTGCAGGCCCTGTCCATGGGACCTGTTTATTGCGTTGTATGCTCTATAGCGTACGACAGCGGAGCATGATAGTTTCGAGTGATAGACAAGGTTCGACTGTCGCCGCTGACTCAGCTATGCTGCAAACCGTCACAAATACTTACGGTACCCCGGTGGCACTTTTGGAATCTGAATGGATGTTGTATCAATGATTTTGAGTACTGTTTTGTTGGGCTTGACCTTGGACTCCGAATCTAGATGCTGGACTAGCTGACTGGAGCTGACAATGTTATGGTCCTGACTTGTCGTGGGTGGGGGGGGGGGGGGGGGGGGGGGGGCGTGGGACTCTAGCATCAGCCAGGAACGCGGACCCGAAGTAGCCTAACCGCTACGCAGGATAAATTTATGGTTTGGACAAACCTCACTCAAACTGTAACTGTCTATAACCAATCCATAGCTAATTATGATTTTCGACCTGCTCGAGTCGTTCTCGTTCTCACCTACCTGTATTTTCGCAGGAGTAGCAATTGTTGTCGTACTCGGCGAGTACTGCAGAGGAAGATGTCTTGCCAAGCATAAATTCCCGCTACCCCCTGGACCTCCAGGGCGCTGGTTCTGGGACAGTGCCATGCCATCGAACAAGTCTGTTCCATTCGTGCTTCCTAATTCTGCAAATAAAATGTTTAATGTGCGCTTCAGTGTGACCCATACAATCACACAATGGGTGCAAACGTATGGTCCGGTCGTCTCTGTACGTCAGGGAAATCAAGTCTCGGTCATCATTGGAAGTGTAGAGGTACGCGGTTAGTTGCTGAATATTGTGCTTCACGAGGACGAACGGCCCTCTAGACAGCCAACGAAATCATGGAAAAAGAAGGGAGTGCGCTCGTTGATCGCCCCATTGCCATAGCTGCCGATGAAATGTTTTCTCAAAATATGCGTCTCGTTCTTATTCGTGTCGGGTCACGGTTTCGTCGGTTCCGCAAAGCAGCACATGTACAATTACAACCAAAGGCAGTCGAAGCGTACCGAGACATACAATCTGAGGACGCAAAACAGCTTGTGTGCGATATTTTGAAATCACCAGAGAAACACCAGGAACATGTGAAACGGTAGGTCGTTAGGATCTCTATTGCATTTAATGATTTTTGTCAAACCGGAACAATGTAGATTCTCAAACTCGGTCATCCTGCGCATAACATATGGCAAATCGACGCCGACCGCGAACACGGATCCTGAGGTAGTAGGGATGAAACTTGTGGTGGAACGTTTTGGAATGGTTATGCAACCCGGTGTTTTTTTGGTTGATCGCATCCCTATTCTGCGGTATGTGCCTGGGTACGGACGTCAGTTGAAGGCCTGGTTTCGTGAGGAGCACCAACTAGGACTGGGGCAGATGGAGCGAGTAAAAAATGAAATCGTGACATGTGCTTCTATTGAGATGTGTTTTGTGCGCTCACATCTCCTTTAGGCAAGTGGAGTCGCTGGTCCGTCTTTCATGCGAACACTTCTCGAGCGGCACGGGCATCAGCTTTCGGAGGATGAGATGTCTTTTCTGGGAGGAATGCTTTTTGGCGCTGCTGCTGACAACGTGAATAATGCTTCACTTCTTAGTTTAGTTGGCAGGATTAACAGTTCATATCCAGACTGCTGCGGCTATCACCACCGCTATCCTGGCTGCAGCTTGCCATCCTGAGGCACAAGCGCGTGTACAAGAACAACTGGATGCAGTTGTGGGCAAAGAACGACGTATGACTTACTTTTACGCTTTAAATGCGGGATAGGATACTCAATTCCTTATTCATAGCCCCATCTTTCGAAGATATCCAACATCTTACTCAGTTGCAAGCATTTATGCATGAATCGCTACGCTGGAGGCCTGTCGTTCCGCTCGGTTGATTATCTACCTTTCGTTGTCAGCCACCACTAATTTTTCGTGTAGGGTTCCCCCATCGTGCCACGAGGGATATATTATGGGTGAGTGGATATGATGTTCTTACAATTGGAGCAGATTGATACTTGTGCATGCAGAGAGGGTTCCGGATCCCTGCTGGCGCAACTGTCTACGGCTGTCATTGGTACGAAATGAACTTGTACTCCCAGATGAATGCTTAACTGTCGCACACTACAGGGCTATCTCTCATGATGCAGCTGCTTTTCCTGACCCCGAAAAATTTGATCCCCAGAGGTGGGTCGAACCCTGCGGGAATGTTCGTACCGATCTCGAGTCTTTTCCATTCGGCTTTGGCAGGCGGTCAGTTATCTGGTTAATCAAGCGGTATAGAACTAATAGATAAATTAGTGTCTGCCCCGGGCAGCACCTAGCGAGCGAATCTGTGTTAATAACTCTTGCCTATTTGTTCTGGGCTTTTCGAATCTTGGAACCCAATAATGCGCCCATAGATAGGTGGGCGTTCGAAGACAATATTATTGCACATGCAAAGCCGTTTTCGGTCATGTTTTCCCCAAGGTTGAATGTGGGGCATTTGGAAGAAGTCATGGGACAAATCTAGATATGTACATCACCTTTTGAGACTATGTGTTGTCGGAACCGTCCACTGTGGTCCGTTCCGTGCGTATATTCACATGGAACTTGGACCGGCAAGCAATGGTAAATTGATGGCGAACATTTTGCATGTGCATGAAACAGCCCAATTCGCCCTCATGAACTGGTCAACGAACAACGGATGCGGTGAAGACAGCCTGCGACCCGGGTATTTGATATTGCGCACCTTTGCCGATTGGCCCACACTTTCTACTTCAAAATGTTACTCTGCGTTCAAGACGGAATGAATGAGTGGATCCAACCAGCAATACCGTGACCCTGTCGAATAGCAGGCAATGCAACTTTGTCTTTCAAAGCTTCAATGTTGCTGAGAATGATGTATCGGCTATTACACCATCCCATGCGGTCTCCCAATGGGACTAGCGGGACAGCTCCCTAAATTCAATGAAGATCATTCAGTCAGAAGAAGACTCGTGGCTCGTCCAACATAAACAGCAAGTTCCTCGCCGCTTGAAGTACATGTGCGATGTCAAAGCCGAGTGTGGCGGAATTTGGACAACGGAAATAATGAAAGAATTATTGACGCAGACGGTCCGGCAGACCTAGTACTTGGATCTCTGCCGATTCTCAGGGGAGTATTATCGGAAGGAACGACGGTCTTACTTCTATTGGTCTGACAATGAGACTATCAGGGGCAAGTCTCGTGTGCAGCAACCCGCGATGCTGCAAGCGTCCGAGTGTATCCGTGCATTGCTATTCCTACAGACGCTGACTTGTTCGGTTAATTGTCAGGAAGACCTGACTAAATCTGGAATCATGGTAAGAGTTCTGGGCACTCACATCACACAGCCTGGCAAGACACACTGTCTCGGTGCATCGGCTTTCTCAATGTCTCCAATCTCATTCATCCGGCACATAGATGAATATCAAGTGCAAGGGCAGGCGGCCTTAGACACTCACAAAATAGTGAGCACCATGTCTTTTCAGAGCGAAAGACCATCCAGGCCCACTGGGGCCTACTGGGGAGAGAATTGCCATGATGGTTTTCTGGGTTTTGATCAAGACTTTTCCCATTGAGAGCACCGCGGAGTTTCAAAAACCAAGCTTCGAATTCAATACCTTTTTGGTCTTTCACGAACAGCGTTAGACGCGAGTGAAGCACACTCTTACCCTTTTCTCCGTTATCAGGTGCACGGCTCGCTGGCGGATGACCCAGAATATCGCAACTACATACGCAGTGCCCTTCTGTCCAGTAGCACGACGGATTCGATATACAGAACATCCGGGTCGAGCTGTTGATGCACTTGAACCAAAAACTTGAATGCATGTCTGGGCCTCTGGCAATCTGCTCATCATGCACTAACTCTTTTCTGCGATCATAATGAAGGCTACGTTACGCCGGGTGAGCCCATTCCGAACATTTTGACAGCAATTTTTATTTGTTAGTAGGAATCACCTACATGGACGAGGTGTAGTTCCGTGGTACCTCGTGATACACTCCAAGCTTTGCTTTCATATGGGATGGATTCCCCAAAATGAAAGTGTTCCGGTCGGAACTGTATGTCTTGGGGTTGTTCAATAATTTCATACCTCGTGAGGTACTGCTAATCTAGAGGTCGCCCAATTCCGCTAGTTGTTCCTCCATTGCCATCAGCGGTATAAAAGGTGCCATCTGTGCGTAGGTTTGTGCCCAGTTTCCTCAGTACTTTAGCTTTTATCACTCAAAGGAAGAAATGTTGCAGCGTCACTCAAAGTCTCTCCTCTTCAGTGCACTCCTGACGCTATTCACTCTTGTCTCTGGGTTGGGTACATCCTGCTCGGCACCATTGGGTGGCGGAACAGCAGCACCAAGTGATCCGTATTGGCTTCAAACTATCAAGCATCAAGGCACTTCGGCCTTCAACTCGAACTCGAGTTCTTACCAGGTTTTTAGAAATGTCAAGGATTTCGGAGCCAAGGGTGATGGTGTCACCGATGATACGGCTGCAATCAAGTATGCCATTTTTATCCTTCCAAAGTATTCGCTTACCTATATTTTAGCTCCGCCATGTCCTCCGGTGAACGTTGCGGCGGTGGATCTTGTGGTTCTTCCACGTCAGTGCAGAGCGTCACTGATTCTCTGCAAATTCGTTAACAAATTGTGGCCTGCAGCGTTACTCCGGCGATCGTGTATTTCCCTGCAGGGTATGCCTCTTCATTCATATCATGAGATTGTCTGCTAACCATCGGACAGGACTTACCTCGTATCTTCGGCGATTAACACGTATTATTACACTCAGATGATCGGAGATGCAAAGAACCCTCCAACCCTCCTTGCCAACTCATCTTTCAATGGCTTTGCAGTCATCGGTACATGATCCGTCATTTTCAATGTGGGCGCCGCCTTACTTCAATTCTGACTAGATGCCGATCCCTATATTCCCAATGGCTGGGGCGCCCAATGGTTTTCTAACCAAAACAACTTGTGCGCATTCCTTTCTGCGCCTGGTGCACCATGACTCATCATAATGGACGTCTAGCTATCGTTCCATTCGCAACTTGATCATCGACCTTAGGCAGATCCCTGCGTCGACTTCGGCAATTGGTTTGCACTGGCAGGTTTCGCAAGGCACTTCGCTCATCAATATCGTGGTCGAGATGTCCACTGCTTCTAATAACAATCACCAAGGCATATTCATGGAGAATGGGAGGTGAGAAGCTCGCTTTCTGGTTTGAATTTTCATTCTCAATACGCTGTTAATAGTGGTGGATTTATGGGAGGTGAGAATTCCATCATGATATGGGAATGAGAGCACTAACATCGCGCCGTCAGACATCATATTCAACGGAGGTAGATCCCTAATGACTTTTGTTCTTCTTTTTGTGATGTTTCGTTAGGGAAGTACGGGATTCAAGTCGGTAACCAGCAGTTTACGGTTCGTAATTTGACAGTAAATAATGCTGCCACTGGTTCGTCATCTTATCCATCAATTTATGATGATGTGCTGAACACCCCTACCAACCGACAGCTGTCTCTGGCATCTGGAATTGGGGTAATGGTCGGCTTATCAAAATTTATACGTTTCTCACATCCTCCTAGGATTCACATTTCAAGGAGTTACGATTAACAATTGTCAAGTATGTCGTGAACTTGTAAATCTTATCGAAGAGAATCATTGACAGATAATAGGTCGGCTTTGATTTAACAAGCGGTGGAACAACAATAAATAATCAAGTTTGCCCATCCCACGCTTTGAACTTTCAAGTGGCTAAATGCTGTCTAGACCGTCGGTTCAGAGGCTATCATCGATGCAGTCGTGACCAATACCCCCATTTTTCTTCGATCTTCGGTAGCGAGCAATGGTCGACTGGCCGGCTCCCTCGTTCTCAACAACATCAAGTTGATCAACGTGCCCACCGCAGTCGGTGTTGTAGGCGGAACTACGGTCCTTGCTGGTGGTACGACTACGATCGCTTCGTGGGGTCAAGGAAATGTGTATTCTGGAACCAGTGGATCCAAGAATTTTACACAAGGAAACATCGTCTCTGCTAACAAGCCCTCCGTCCTTTTGGATAGTACTGGTCGAATCTTCGGAAAGACTCATCCTCAGTACGCAAACTACGCGACGAACCAATTCATCAGCGTCAAGAGCCAGGGTGCAAAAGGCGACGGCCGCACAGATGACACCGCCGCTATTCAAAACATCCTGGATGAGGTGGGTTCCGTTGTCTTCTTCTACTGAGATCGTGCCACCAATTCTTTTCAGTACGCTGGATGCAAGATCATCTTCTTTGATGCAGGAACATATTATGTGACGAATACCATCGCCATTCCCGCCGGAGCTCAGATCGTCGGTGAAGCCTGGTCAGTAATAATGGCTGGCGGGAGCGCTTTCAGCGATCAGAGCAACCCTCGTGCTGTTATCCAAGCAGGCGCAGCCAATTCTCAAGGTGTTCTGGAGATAAGCGATATGGTCTTTACCACTGCCGGACCTAGTATGTGTAAAAATAGTCCATGTTATTCCTGAAGCTGATATGTCGCAGCTCCCGGTGCGATAATGATCAAGTGGAACGTGCACGATCCATCCGGTCAGCAAGCGGCTGCAGGAATGTGGGATAGCCATATCAGGTTGGTCTTGATTCTCTAGTGTATTTGAGACGCGTTAACGACGATTGTGCAGGTTGGGTGGAGGTAACTATTTCGATACGCGGCCACGGAGAAGCATTTTGACTCTTCCTTGTTAGCTGCGGGCACGAACATGCAGTATTCACAATGTCCCTCGGGATCTGTCAACACTGCCTGTCAAGCTGCTTTCCTCGGGATACATTTGACTTCTGGATCGAGTGCATACCTCGAGGTATGATAATTCAAAGGTCTCACAACATTTCTAATGGTGATGTTGTCGCATAGGGCACGTGGGTCTGGACCGCCGACCACGACCTTGATTCTTCGGGCTCCTCTCAAATCTCGGTATTTGCTGGTCGTGGAATTCTTTCCGAGTCACATGGCCCCGTGTGGCTTATTGGCACATGTACGTGGTCTTCGTGACTCTCGTGATCTTGCTCTGACAACTTGACCTAGCTTGTGAGTTGTTATCAGACTGGGACATTGTCGCAATGCTTATCGTACTAGCTGAACACGCTGCATTGTACCAATATAGCTTGGTAAACGCTCAGAACCACTACATTGGCTTTGCCCAGACCGAAACGGTATGGACTGATCTTCGCATTGGGTTTATTTCCATCTGATGCCGTCCCAGCCATATTACCAACCCTCTCCGGCCGCGCCAGCACCATTTAGCACTGTGTCATCTTACAATGACCCTACTTTTTCGAGTTCGATCGACATGGCCTGGGGAATGTACATCAAGTCTTCAAGCAACATTATCATATTTGGTATAGATTTTAACTTTGTCCATACTTGCACGATATTGATAATCACATGTATAGGAGCGGGCTTCTACAGCTTCTTCCAAGTGAGTGGACTGCGCCATCCGTTCTTTTGCTACTTATGCGAGTCGATTATTTGTTCAGAATTATAGCCAAGACTGTTTGAACACTAGTAATAGTACTTGCCAAGCGCAAATTTTCAACGTCGATTCCGCGTCGAACATCACTGCATATAGTGTGTCGACCATAGGCATTACTTACCAGCTCAGCGTGTCACAGAATGGGGTGATCCACTCAAGCGATAATGCTGATGGGTTCCAACAGACTTTCACAGCTTGGAACAAGTAGGAAGAAGGACCAATTGGGTCCTGCGGTATTAAATTACACTATACGAGAAGTCGGGGTTTCAGTAATACATGGTCCCTGTACAAGAGAATACAGTTTCATAACTACAAATCTCCATGGACGGTGGACATCATAAAAGTAAGGTAAACAAGTTCCGGTAAATTGTCACAACAGACCTAGTTCAGAGTAAGAATTTGCATGCGCTCCTCTCGTGTGGCATACAACAACAAATACGGGAATCCTTCAGCTTTTCGCTTAGCAGCTGCTTCGCGAATTTGCTGAGCATACGCCATGTGAATAGTAGGCATGAACGTTGTGATTCCCTTCCAAGCCTCTTCATCGGTGATCCAGGAGGCATTCTTTATTAGGGTATCAAAGACCGCGTTTGGAACATCAACAGCAAGCATCGGCAACCCATTTTGCGTTGCCGTTTTGAGGTGCTCAGCCCTTTCGTACGCTAGAACATACGTCAGTGAATTTGAAATCGCATCCGTCATCGGCATTACCTCGATCGAGAAGCATCTGTTTGACACTCTTTTTCTGCTTCTTTGTATCGACGGGCAGAATGAGTTGTACTTCAAGGGCGGATGCGTCCTTGGATGGCACAGGAACTGTAAGGGCGTCGGGGTATGCAGAGGAGCCTGAGGTAGCCAAGTCTACGCGTTTCTGCTCAGCAATCTGGTGTTGAAGCCAGCCGACAAGATCTTGGCGTGAAACTGCCCTTCGATCAGCCATTGAAGAATGTAAAAGTTGAGGAAATCCATACCTTCATAAACTGTGCCCTTCAAGATGCTTTTCACCTTGAAAGCGGCCTGCTCGCGGCGCACGGTGCGGGGTCGAGGATAAATGGCGAATCTGATCCCAGACATCAACATAAAATATTTCGGTAATTCTGGTTTTGAACTTACAGTATTCCTTCGCGTGCGCATAGGTCGACATGACCCTCATGTTCAGATTCCAAGAGGTTAGCATCATACATAATGTCGGCGCTGATGTTGTTTTGCCACAGTAAAGAAGCAACTTCCAAACGGTCCTGCAAGTAGCCTGTCTGATATGAAAGGACGTATACGTCGCATCTCCGAGGACTCCAGAAACCGAATGACCGCTGTTCCTTAACAAGTGCTTTGACGGAGGTGCTCTGGAAGGCCGCCAACACCACCGCGATCTTCTCAAGAGCGATTTGTACGGCGAATGCGCAGATAGGATCCAATCTAGGTTTCGGATTGGAATACTGGGCGATGAGATTGTCGTATCTATCATAGATGTCAAGCAACGTCAAATTAAACTTGAATTGCATACCGTCCAGCTGCAGCGAGAACATCCAGCCGCCTAGTTCGTCTGACCACTTCAATACGCACTCCTTCCTTGAAATGTATGTGATGAGCACCCCACATCAAGGGATGGAAGAAGACGGGGGCAGAGAAGCCCGCAGATGTGGCAAACTGGATCGTTTGCTTGATTTCCTCCACGGCGGGCTTCATGACCGTAACAAGGGTGGGCGAAACCTTCTCAAGTTTGGATAGGAGAGCGTCGATATCCTCGTCTATTCCTGCAATCAGTTCGTGCACATAGACATATGTCCTTAGGATCACCTATTTCAGCAAGGGCTTCTAATTCATCCGTCGTACTCCTCAAGAGGCCTTTCTTCAACAGAGATACTCGCTTTTGTGGAGCAGTAGACTTGGACTGATTGATGATGTCTATCACCGAAGAACGGAGCTCCTCCGGAATACGATTCAAAGCAAGATCCGCGACTAGTTCTAATGTCAGGCAAAGTCAGGAAAACACGAAAAACTTCATACTCTTAGAATGAGAAATATGGAGCTCGTAGTTCTGGGCAAGGTTTGGGAAACTGTTCAAGCAGTTACTGAGAAGGATGAGGAACTCGGCACCAGCTGCCATCAGTCCATGCTTGGTATCGGGGGTAATGACGTCAAGAACCGCTGCTTTTGTAGCCTTTGGATGTCCTGGGGCAGAGCTGTAGATAGTCAAGCAAATATTACAAACAAGTTTCGAATAAGCTTGGAGGGACTCGCTTTGGTCGATAGATATTCGAGATATGGAATCGCTTGATTCTTCGCAGACGGCCTCGCGCAGCCAACCGAGCGAAAGGTACTAGCGCGTTGTTTGGTAAACAAACCATTTCTCCGTGACGATCGATGAAGGTTGCATGGGTCTGGCTCCCTTCAGGATTGGACGACGGTAGTAAAAGCGGTGGTTCCATATCGACTGCCCCATGAAGTCGAAATATGGCTGCGATCCGGTCCTCAACGATGTCGTTCAGGTACGCGTGCTCGGGAATTTCAGTTTCGATGTCGTACAAATAGCTTCGAGATTGGTTTACAGGCTGGTTGAACAAGGCAGATAATACGCCCTGATGATATGGAGAGTCTGGTTTAGCTGCCACTTGCGCATAAGTATCATCAATCTTGGTGCAGATATATACATACTCATCATCCGCAGAGCTCCTTTGAAATATTCATCCTCTACTCTGGGAGGGAGAAGAGGACTTTGGGAGAGTTCCAGTGCGTTTGGGCGCTCGGCAGGGTCATGGCGAAGGAGCGCAGCGATAACTACCATGGGTTAGCATGCAAGAATATTGTCAATCAATTTTTACCAACTTTGTTTCTGGCTAGAACGGTGAAGGTCCCAATCACGAGGGAAGTACACCTCGGGCTTCCTTAGGTCTTCGAGCACAGCTATACGCTCCGATCCCGTGGAAAAAGAATAGTTCATCTCGAAGAAAACGATCTACGCAACATGAGACCATTTTTGGCAGTTGTTCAAAGTCCACTCACCCCCAAACTATACATGTCGGCTTTGTTGTGATTGCGAGGTCCTCGTTTCCTGGACTGGACTTCGGGAGCAATGTACAACTTAGTTCCAACCTCTGGTCGGCGTCAGCGATGATCATTGCTGGACTATTGATGACAAACCAAGCGTCAATTCAGAGTCTGAATGAACGACAGACGGTGATAGATCTGAAGGATCAACAGCAGCTAAACTCGACGTGGCCAAACCAAAGTCTCCGACTGATCATGACGTCAAAATCCAGCACACAAGAGTACATCTAAAGAACTCGCCTTTGCAGTCTCCTTTCCCATCTGAGCCAAGGGTAAGTGTATCAAAACAGGTAGGTTAGAGTAGTACATACCAATGAAGATGTTCGTGAGCTTGATATCTCGGTGAAGCTGGCGTGACGTGAGAACAAACAACATGTCAAGTGAGACTTGACTTACAATGCCCATGCTACCCATGTGCACCAAGGCATCGAGGATTTGATAAAATAGCCGCCAAGCCTCCTCTTCGGTTACACCCTCTGCCACTCGCTGAATGGTCATACAGTCAATTCATATGAGATACATGTACGATAGAATATCGCACCTCTTTCAGTGTCTGGCGCTCAACAAATTCCTGAGTGAATGAATGATTTCAGTGATGACGCTCAATGTCTGTGGATCTTACCATCTGTATGTACAATGTTCGGGGCTGGATGGTATCCTTCGGTGTATCTTCGTCGGCGGTATACTCCGAAGAAAAGAGATTGCCGAATTCCCCATCGCTGTCGTCGTCTTCTTCTTCATCTTCTTCGTGGTTGCCATTCTTGATCTCGGAGCGGGTGAAATGAATGCTCGGAAAAGACGTCTTGTTCGACCCATAATCATCCAGGTCTTCCATCTTAACCATGAATGGGTCAGACTTCTCGCGTTCATGCGATTGGGGCACGGATGTCATGCCACCCTCGGTCCCAGTATCAGATCCAGTATCAGAGTTCGAGTACAGTATGCTCGAATTCGACTCGTTGAATTCAACCCACGTCGTGTAATATCGGACGATGAATCGATGCGACAGCCGACTTAAAGCGTTCACTTCGCGGAACAGCTTGTTGTCGTCCTTGTCTGATCGTAAGCGAATCTTTTTCACTATGTGCCGACGTGAGGTCCATTAGACATCCGTTTCTCGAATTTCAAACCACATACCTGCATAGATGCGATTATCAATCTTGTTCCGAGCTTTGACTACAGATCCAAAGGCACCTCTGCCCTGAATACCATTGTAAGCGAGAGAACAGTGGATCGTATGAATTAGAGTACCAAGAGTTCAAGCTCCTCCCAATCTTCTTTCCAACGACTGGCCGGGGCAGTGCGCTGAGGAACTCGGAAGTAATCTTTCTCTGGAGAGCCAAAGTCTCCATTGGGTTTCGGAGTCCTGAGATCTGGAGAAATGGTAAGGATAGAAGATATTGGAATAAACTGTCAGTTTTACCCGTGCTAAGGAATGGGATTGCCGTAGGACTTCCAATTCGTCTTGGAGATTGGAGAGGCGCCGCCGATGCAAGTTCTGCTAAAAGGCTCAAGCAGGACACTTTCTTCGCATGCACTAACATATTCAGTGCGCATGTTTGGAGGGTAGGAGAAAGAGCCGCTGAAGCGCAAAGTCAGTTCCAGGACAAGAAAGTGACAGAATATGGATTACCGGCTTGCACAGCCTCTTTGGGGTCACTAAACTGCCTCATGACGTCTCTTCCATTGACCATTTGCATGAATATTACTCCAACGCTGTGTATATCGCGTCCCCGGGTGTACGATAGAATAGACTCAAGGACATCTTTGGATAACCTACAATGGATGGATGTTCAGATGATGAAGTGCCCTGATGTATCACTCACCAAGGTGTAGGGCGTATATACTCTTCCTCGTTCACGTTTGATATGCCGTTGCCAAACGGATTGGACTTGTGGTAGTCCTTCAAGCGTGCGTGATAACCAACTTTTCCTATCCTAACCATCTTGGAGTGGGTTCTATTCTCCCTCGTAGCAAGATATATGCAAGAAATGTCAAGACCTAGAACAACATGAGTTGTGGTGTGGGCCAAGACTCGGACTATACCTCTGTGAATTATGTCTGCTGAATGGACTGCGTTCAGGGCAGACAGAATCTGACCAAGATATTCCTAGAAGGATCACAGCAACCTCAGTGATACAATAACGCTCAAGGGACTCC